GGTTTAAGTATATAGCCTATACATCCTTAAGAGACCAATGGGTATTTATTTCTTTTTTTTTCTCGTGTAAGATTCATTAAACGTGAAGGAGTTAAAGATAAGATATAATTGTTCGATTTTGGAGATAAAAAGGAATATTTACACGTAAGTGGTATAAATTGAAAAGAATAATCGGACCGTCGATGCTTTTCAAAAGCAATCTGCTCGGAATAGACGGAGGATAACACTGTTGTTAACAGAACAGTTCGATGATAATTTGTATTTTTTAACTTATTATATAATCGAGATTATAAATATTACTATATTTAATATTTCTGTTATTGTTACGAATCGTGCGAACCAACTTTTTTTCCATTGATTGTTATCGTTCCCAAAGATGTCTCACTATAATAGGTCTTCTCGCGCTGTTCTGTTAATCGACCGCTAATTTGATAGTCGTGTTCCAAAGTGTGACTGGGTTCCGTGGACCGATTCGTTGCCTATCCTTTGCACGTGAAATTCAATTTTTCAACCGCAAGTTAAAATAATTACATAAGCTTGTTTAACAAATTTTACGCAAAGTTAAGTTTTCACGTACAAATTTATTAATAAATTAGATACTCTCTTTGTGATGGTTGAATTGAAATTCTCGAGTAGTTCTGCGTTTGCAACGTGTACTATTCTACTACGAATATTGTGCCCTCTCGTATTTTATTCCAAAAGTTAAACGAATGAATTCGATCAAATTGATAAATTCTGTTATTAAATGTTTTAAATAATTATGTGTGCCCGAAGAGAGTACGGGTGCAAAGGGGTCCATACTTTCTCATTGAAAGCGCATAGTTTCAATCCATTACAGTTGAGTTTTAAAGTGTAAGCGAAACGCTTACTCTTTTCTTTTTACGAGATATGTTGGTTGCTCATTGAGATGAGTATGAAGCGTGTCACGCTCTAATCACGATGAAAGCGTAGGCTTGTTTCTCTGAGGAATGCCTGTCTGAACATTTTGCTTTCAGTGTCTTTTTCTAATAATATTTGTTAGCTCTTTTTTCATGTATATTTGTCCACGTTTTTTACGCTTGCCACGTGTAAAAGAAAGATTATAAGCACGCAGCTAGAGACTCTGTTAGCCGTGCATCATCCATTAAATTGCAATACTCGTTTATATCCGTGTTATAGGAGATCTGATACGAATCTTTCTTTTCGCAGAAAGGATACTTTATTATTCTTTTTATATAGATATATAAATAATTTAGATCACCCTATTAAACTTAAGTATTCGATAACACGCGTTTGATAGAATCTCTCTTCTCTTTTCTTACCGTGGACTGGTCCACGTACCACGTTTTTTGTATATGTTTAATTATTTAGTTGACGTGTAATATATTAATTTATACAGAATTTAGTTCGATGTCGAAATGAAGCTTAGCTTGGAATCGAGATTATTTTAATCTTTATCTGTATTTTCGTTTGCATTTAACTCTTTTTTTTTTCAAATATTATCTCGTTATTCCTACAGCATTTATTTTCTACTGCTTCTCCGTGTTTGTTTTTACCGGGATTTGTACAATTCTTCGACAAATTTTCTGATATCACTAATGAGATTCAGCCGTTCTTTTAATACCGGATGTGAGAAGGTTCGAGGCTCGTTTTGTCTTCTTCCCGTTAACGGGCACGATCTCCTCTTCTTCCAGCAGCGAATAATCAAAATACTACTATTATATCAGAAGTATCGTCTCTTCGCGAGACAAGCATTTAAATGTTTCACCCTACATCACGTAACGGAACCAATGAAATTAGTAGCGTACCAAAAGTGTCCATACCACGTTGTTCTAACAGTGTATATTTCGATCTCTGCCCCGAGGAATCATCGGGAAATCATCTTCATTGTGATTCTGAATATGCTCAAAAGAGAAAAAAAGACCCGTTCTAGCGAGAAAGAGTGTGAGATAGTGAGTGTCAGATGAAACGTTCTCGCACGAATACGAAGTGGAACTTTTTTTAATCGAACATAAAAGAGTAACAGAAAATGATTCATCGCGATCCAAATGTATTTTGCGTATTTTTTTATGCCACGATGATACAACAAGTAGTATAACCCATTTTTCACAAAACCAAGAGACAAACGACGACCAAGCACACATACACATATGCACCAGCTCTCGATACCATCGAGACGAATAGAGAAGATCAATGTGATGGTTAAACAGTAATTAACACTTCATATTTGCATGTAATACCACATATACGTATATCTTAAAGAATTTCCAAATTTTTAATACAAACGCATCATATCATATGATATGATTGAACGATATCAATACTGTCATATGCAATCTTATGAAAAATTAATGTGTACATTACTTTCGATGCTAGTGAACATTACTGAATTATTCAAACTAGTCGTCACATTGGTTTTCCCTTTTAAACCCGTTAGTTACGATTTCTATCCAAATGTTTCTTAAGAAGTGAAAAAGAGAAGAAACTGATAAGCACTCAACGATATTGAATGAATACTTACGAAAGAATGGAGAATGATCTTTTTTTTCTTTTTAAACCATGTGCGTTATGGCTATGATGAGAATGCCGCGAGAATATTGGCTGGAGAGAAATTGTCGAATTCCTTATTGGAAAACGCGACGAGATTATAAAGCTAGTATAGTGATCATATAGCAGCGATCAAAATGATAATAATCGAAGCGGTGGATTGTCGTTGGGTATCAATTTTTCGCTAGCATCTCTCTCCCATTCGATGTACGCGTTAACGCGTGCGACGAACTTCTTAAAGCGTTCACGAAGTATTCAAATTAATACGAACTATTAAAACTGTTTACCTATAGCGCGTTTCGAGGAAGACTGTGACGATTTGCATTCAAGGCTCCCTGCAAATTGTTTCAGTAGTATCGTTACAATTTTTTTAATTCATTTTTTATTCAGTTATGGTGATTCCATGGACGGGCATTGATCATTCGAATAATTAAATGACTGAAGTTATTCATTAACATCTGATTATACGAAATTCGAAGATCAATGCCTGGTTCTGTTTACGACGACACTTGATACCTTTTCGATTTTTTGTTTGAAGTGATAAAGGAAGAAATAAATATGAACCGTGAGCGCAATAAAATCTGTAATGCATGCACAAGTAGCTTGTCCCTCTTGATGAACAGATCCGTTTAGAGATAAAAAATGAGGTAAAAAATATTTAAAGTGATCTTCGATAGCTGCTTCCCTGGGTACCACGTGTAACGAGAAAGGCCTAGTTAGCGTTATTTAAAAGATAATGCCTACAAGATATACATAGTATATACAAAACGAGGAAAAGTAAAGTAAAAATTAAGTAACTCTATTTACGAGTAATTCTGCACAATATTATGCGCAATAACGATACATCCGTAGGATGTATATTTTTAATAATTTGAAATTCTCGCGGTGTTACACCGGATATACATAGATTAAATAATATAGTGTTAGCGTTCCATGGATGAAAGAGAGGAATGATACGCGCGCCTACTAGAGATTATTAACGATTTCCTAATGAGAATCGCAGACTAATCCCTCATAGTCGCGAGAAGAATGATAGGAACTAATAGTAATTCTGTTTTTGAGTGTCGAAGACCCACCGTTTATCATCTTTGCTCTATCCTATTCCCGTTCTCTTACACCCTTCGATTTCTTCGTTTCCCTTTCTCGTTTAGTTTTATTCGTACATACGACTCTTCTGTTATTAAACGATACTACTGTTTTTTGCCTACTATGATTATGATTATAATATATGAAAAATTATATATGTAACAAATATAAATACTATAAATATTGGAGAAACCACGTCGCTCTTGCACTTTCTTTCCTCCATCTCTGATGTTCATTCGCACTTTTCGGTAGACCTTTTATGTTAATACATGGACAGAATAACATTCATCGGTTTGCAATTTCTGTAGATTAAAATGTGATACTTCGTAAGTCGTATAATCGATTTTGAATTAATTACTTGACTCCACGATCGAACATAAAATACGTTTCAATAAAGATTGTTCCAGTTTATTGAGAGTCAATTCAAGTCTCATTAGTTAGCAGCGAAAGGGTTTAAATTAGTAAAAGACACCTTTGCTCTTTAGTTCCTTATCGTATCCTCGCTCGATTCGGTATCCATTGAATGCCCACTCGATACCCGGAGGCGATTTAATAAGGCGTATCCGATCCGATGCCGTGGCACCGCGTCACATTGTCATCTCGGCTATATAAACTCCTCGAGTCCCCGGTCTTGTCTCTTTTAAAACGGTAAAGGACCTTTGGTCTTTACTTCTTTAAACGCGGTGATAGAGTGGTTGAAAGGTGAGGACCACTCGAGCGGTGCCGGAAGAGACGCGAGGACGTAGCTCGTGTATAAAGAAGGGGTTGGCTGGGCTGCCTTTATGCCCGTAACAAACGAGGACCCACTCCAGGGGGCAGGAAGCACAAAGGTGAGGGCGACTCCGTGACTATCGCTGGATCTCCCGCGGTAATTATTTTTAAACACGTCCTGGAGATACGAATCTTTAGTGGCTCTAGCACCGAACAGACCGGGTAAACTTCTCGCATCTCCGTGGCCTAACTAAATAATAACCGGATTAATTAGACCGTAGTCGTGCTTTCCAGCACGTTGCCGGTTATATCACGTCCATAATTAGTTTTTCTTTACTCCTTCTTACAGCTGTTCTCAGGAGAATCTCTTCGTCGTTCGCGTGTTTAGTTAGATGTGTATGATGGATCTTTCATTTTCTGTTTGTACATCTCGTTTATTAAGAAATCTCTTGGGGTGAATGAACAGGAATTAATAGAATTTATAACAGTGATTGTATTTTAGATATCTAACGATCAAATTCTAATATTAATATTGGAATTCTATAAACAAATTGCCATCTGTGAGATAATGTTTTAATAAAAAGATCGAGATCCTTCGTTTTATTTGTATGAAATCAGTGTCTCGTCATTTGTCGAGAGTGCTTGAAAGAATATCAATAATATACAATTTTTCCTTCTCTGATCCATTTTCACTCGTCTTCGTTGCCCTTTGTTCATGTTTCTCCGTCGGTTCCAATCGTCGTCTCCCTGCCCGGTCCTGTAGCCGGCTGTTGGCTCTTCGGTAGGACGCTTTCACAGTGTGCAAATCGAATCAGAACGCCCCCGCAGGGTCGTCGACAATGTTATTTGTTAGCGGAAGTGTCGTAGTAACTGGAGGTTGAAATGAGGCCAGATTGCCCAGGGTGATCAAGTTAAACGGCACGTGGACAGTAATACCGTTCCATCCACCACGAATACCCTCTCGCCGATCCTGATCCTTCATCTCGTTCTAGAGATTTCAACGGAAATAATATCGTAGCCGTTTTCACTCTCTTCCTTTACTCCTCAGCAACAGACTGTAATCTTGCGTTAGGTGATTAGCATACTGCAGTTTTGTAAAAAAATCCGAGTTTGGATTTTTTTATTCTTTAAAGACAGTTTATACTTGTATTTACATAATATCCTTGAAAATTACATGAATTTTTTTATACTTTACAAAAGTTGTAATCGTTTGTGAAGAAGACAGTTGAGAATGCATAGTCGAACGACGCAACGAGAGGAGGGCAATAAGACAATGGTATAACGTTTGATCGGTAGCGAAATGTCAGGGTAAAGAGCGGTAAAGAGGCTCAAGCGCATCGTGTTCGATGAACGGCAGGCAACCGTTAGCCTAACAAGCTGTCAAGACGTCGCCGCGTGTCAATTCACGGGTCTCAACGAACCCTCCGAATAAATCTACCCGTAGAACCGTAGCAAGCTCCTACCCCCGTCCCGTGACGCCGCGGTAACCAGAACTACTAAACCACTGGTTGTACTACAAACTTTTAGCCCCGTGAATGCTTCAACTCCTCGGATTGCGTTCCCCCTAATGTTTTGGTCGGTTTCGATTAATCTGCTAAATCCTACATTTACCATAATTATCTCTTCACTTAGATACAACATATCAGCATCTATAAATTGCTTAAATAAATATTATACCTTAGCTCATTGATCTTTCTATTTTATTTCATAATTTCTGATGAAATTAAAGAAAACCGAATCAGATTTAATAAACTGAACATCTTTGATCTCTTTTATTAACTGTTCAAAGATATGATCGGTTATGAACTGGCATCCATTCTTTATGGAGGGACAATCGTAGATCTTATCTGCCTGCTAAAGTAATTTGATTTGCTCGAATTACTACGTCGATGCAGGGAACTCTGTACGTATAGTAATATTCTCCCCTTTGATGTACCTGTGACATATTGTTTCTGACATTTATTAATTATTTAATTCTGAAGAAAACACATGAAAACTTGTTATGGATTCTTAAAAGTTTAACAAAGAATGTGAATGTCATACAGGGATACGTATAAAAAATTATAACAGTTAAAACGGGTAATTCCAAATTCAAGAATTGACTTTATGTGATAGTAAAAATGTTGATGCTTGATTTCGAACAATTTAAATGCTGAAATATAAACGTAGCGTTTTTAAGTTATATTTTTGTATTTAGTTCACTTCTTTAGGAGGAATATATGTATTGTAAGGTCAGATGAAACTACAAACCGCTTTTACCGATGTTAGCGGTTCGACCTTCGAGCGATGCGCGATGAGCAACACATTTGAAAATTTAGTTCCAGCAAAATTTTGCCATTTTCCCATCAAGCGTCCCGACCGCGCGAAATCGGATTAGTGTTTATTCGACGAATTCACTTCGTTACATCGTTTACCTTATTATAACGTGTAAAACATCTTGAAACATCATCAATGGAGGATGTCAATGTCAGATGAAAAATTGAAAGATGAAGAGAGAGAATTATTTCTTACTAAAAAGATTACGTTTTTCAAAAAGGACGTCGCGTTCTAAAGTTGCATGATAAACCTATTTAAAATCTTATTATTATTTTCTAATCGAACGATGTACGAGAGAGCAGGCTAATTCGGTTTGCGTATTTGCTCTTCGCTAGACAAAGTCATTGGAGTGGATGATCCTGTACCGAGCGGTGTATACAATTAACATTAAGGTTGACCTCATCATTATTCGCGTTAAGTCGAGAGAGATGTCCGCACTATGGAATGAATGAGAGAGAGAGAGAGAGAGGGAGGGATGCGAGCAGGTAGATCCGAAGCCACCCCTTCCGGCGGAACATGCATACACAGTGTTGTAGCCTGTACTGCGCATATCGGTGCCGAACCCCTATGACGGAAAATAATGAAAGTAATGGGAACACGCCCACTGCATTTAGTCCGCTTAGCTACCCCTCGGCTTCGGCGCCCTCCTCGCCTCTTGGCCTCGCGCCCTCGCCACGGGGGTCCTCTAGCCTCTCTGTACTCGCCGCCTTGTTCGTCCTCATCCATCGTAGGCTGCATTGGCTATTCTAACTGCTACTTCATTGTCCTTTATTTCATTATTTCCGCCGCATTCCAGGCTTCCCTTTTGCCCGGCAAAGGGTGCGAATTTTCCCCCTTTATTTACGGTACCGTAATAACAGGCGTCTTAACGGAATTTAATAATCTGATTTGACAAGAGATAAAGAGATTCGAGTTTACGGGAGATATATCTTCTTATGGTTGTACGACACACAACGGGGGCAATAAGGATCTGTGCTGCAAGTGAATATTAAACTGGATCTCTTATTCAAGAGATCAAAGAAAACGTTTTGCAATACGGCTCGCGAGCTCGACGAAGACGCACAAAATTAAATTTATGCTACGGGTTAAGTGTCAAGACTGTTGATGGTATCGACACTTTACGGGACAAATATTCCAGAGTTACTATTAACCAAAACGGGCTACCTGCGATTTAATCCATTTGCATCATTAGCGTACATACATACACATGTATACGCACAATGTTTCTAGTCTGTACTAATTTTAATTGTAACGTTTGTGACCGACAGTGTCCAATGCAAATGGATCAGTAGATTCATGCCGGTCGACAAGTATGATCAGACCGATGCGAGAATTTTTCTCTTAGCAATTTCTCGTCTACATTTATGAAATGTTTCCTTGATCCCTCGTTCTATGTATTCGAGCACCGTGATTTCGTCTCGATAATATCATTAGAGATCTCCGTCGCTTCCTCCAGTTCTTCTCCCACTTTCGTCGACGTGTGTCTGCACGTACATATGTACGTACGTGCGTGCGCGTCTGTTGGACCGTCCTTTTCACCCATCGCCGCGAATCTCCGACGCCGCAAGGGGATGAGGACGCCGACACCTCCACCCTCTTCTGTGTACGCGCTCCTGGAACCTGGCTGGCAGACGGGGAGAGAAAGAGAGAGAGCGAGATAGAGAGAGAGAGAGAGAGAAAGAGAGTGGCTCTGCTCGCCGGCTCTGATCCCTCGCAATTATTTCCCATTATCCGGGTATTAGGATTCACCCCAACTGGAAGCACGACGTGTTCCACAGACTCCGCGCGATGCCCTCCGTCGCGGCGACCAACGATCTCTTCGGTTCTATCGCCGCGTTGATAGCAATATTCTTTTCTAACGTTCGGCAACAGGTAGCTAAAGGATAGATTATTATCCTTGATAAGAGTCGATTCGAGTGGAACTAGTGGCCACTTTATCCCTTCGATGTATTATCATTCATTCATTTCCAGATGTATATTTTAAGAATGTTATTACTTCCTTCTTAGTCAGTTAATAATAATGATTGAAGATCTTTTAATCGATTAATTTTACTATNTTGAAAAATAGCAAGGATTTCGTAGTGAGTTTTGCTAAAAAAAAGTTTTATCGAGCTCTGCTAATAGGGTTCCCTTAAGCGTCGTTTAAGTAGCTAATTTTATATGGAAGTTCCATAAGAAACTTCAATTGGGGGTTGAAACGCGATTTACGAAGGGTCATAGTCAGCGTCGGTGGATATTAAGCTGACGTTAATTGTTTCTTTAGCTGGTGAAGCGGTCTAAGCTCTGAAAATGTCCCAAACAGCGGCCAGTAAAATGTCAAGCTGCCAATTAGCGGAATGATAATGTGGCGCGAGGTTCTACTTGACCCGCGACGAGCCATAAATGTCAATAGACTCATCCGCCTGTTTCACAACAGTCTAATGTGAGAATTTCATCGTTCATGCTTGTTAATCCTCTGAAATGAAAGAACCTCGAGACCTTGAAACTCAACGAACCGATTTATAAAGTAAGCAGTTAACAAATTGAAATTTGATCAAATTTGTTCCTGTCTCAATTGGAATATTTATAATAAAGAAAATAATTAGAGAATTATAATAGAAGTTTGTAATTAATTTGTCGTCAGTACGAATAGAGAGATATTAAATGAGGAAAAGGATAAGTGATACACCGCTCTACATCATGACACTTTAATCCCAACTTGAACCACAAGCTAACTTTCTACTTCGCTATAAAAAGTGACACGAAACGGACTAGCTTTATTATGGCATTTCGCTATAAAAAGTGTCGCGAGAGATCGGCTAGGAAGAATCATTTACACACGTTTACACTTTCTATACATTTCGGTCCGTGTGTCGAGTCCTCTGCAACATTATTTTACACCATTTCACGTCTGTGGCTCGCAGCATCGTTCCACGATTCAAAAAATATGGTTCTTGACACTGGAAATGTCTGTCACTTTAGTTACACCATCTCCTTCACTCGTCAATTATCATTTGACAATCTCTAGTCAAATGTGGAAGGATTTCTATTTCATTTTCTTTTCTAGAACACAGTAGGGTAGCACTGCAGAAAACAAATTCAGCTTTCTCTATTATTCTGGTTTTCTATTATTTTAGTTTACGATCTGTAGTCTGTTTCTTAATTTCTCTTACATCTGCGAATAATTGAAAATAAGCGAACGAAATGAAAGAAAGCTTCGCGATCGCGTCGAACATCCCTCTTGAAAATTGCACAAAATAAAATTCCCGATATCATTCCTCTTTCACCAATATTTTCAAACATATGACCTTTCAAACTCTTCTCTTTCCCTTATTCGAGCGCAACACAGATGTCCCAATCGAATTGAAAGCTTCTCGTACAAACGAAACGGCGACATCGCATTTCAGCGATGTTGACGTTGAACATTTTGTTGCTGTTGATGAGACAGGCTGACCGAGTGGGTGATCTGGTGAAAACTAGTAGGCGAACTGGTGCGTCTCGATACGTGAATGTTGCCGGTTCGCGTCAGCGACGGCGTCTCGTCACCCAGGACGTCGATCTCGTCGGAGTCGGAGTCCATCGGTGCTCCGCTGCTCGCTCGCGAATCTCGGCCGCCGTTCAAAGAGAAATCCACCGGTCGTTCTGCGGACAGTTAATCAGCCGATTACTTTAATTGATGTTTTCGTATTTTCCAAGGAACGCGTCATTCGTTTCTAAATTGGGATCATCGGATGTTCAAACAGTTGCTTCAATTGAAAACTGATTATACATGGAAAAATTCCTCTAAACTTTGTGCTTGTCTTCCGATAAAAAAAGGTTGTCGAAACGTTTGGAATGATTTTCTTATTTCGCGGTCGGGGAGCTTGATCAAATTAGGTCAGATATGTGCCATGATATACAAGTAAGGTTCCTCGGCAGTGGCCCTCGGTGGCCGCCGATCGTGAATGTAGGTCTGGCCGAGCACTTAGCCGATAATTGACTAATTTTCTCGAAGACACCGAGCCGGGAAGACAAGAGGTAAGAACGGTAGTTGAGAAGACGTCGTCGTCGTCGGATCGAGGGGCGAAAGAGGGAAACAGGGGCGGGTGGCTGCGTAACTCCGCGCCGCGCCGTGTTCCTTAGACGGTATCCGTTCGTGTCTGTAGCCGACGCGGCGCGGTGAAGACGAGGCGGTCTCATCTTCCCGCGTGCTTTCCACCCCTTACAACAGCCCCCTTCTTCCCGGCTGCCAAGGAGATGTCTACTAACTTCGTTAGCCCTTCCAACCGAACGAAGCCATCTTGGCTACCGAGACGAGGAACTTGCCAAAGGTTATGAGTAGATGCGGTGTAAGTCGCGCGGGGGGTGACTATCCTGCATCCCGTCTGATTCTAGGAGGTTGACACGTTCGGGAAAATATGCGAATTCGATACAATTTCATTGGGTTTACATTCTATCCTTCGTCTTTTCTTTTCTTTTCGAAATTCTTGAAATTAACGTTTAATCAGAATAACGAACAATTTATTCTGCATAAACGAGGAGCCTAATACTTTTTAGTAATAAAATATCGTACGCTTCAATTTGAAAAGAGGATATTATTAAACAGGAGGATTTAATTTGATATGTTTGTAAAAATGGTTTCCGCTTGTGCAAGGCTGGAGTTGTATTTTCGTTTATCAACGTTACAGTTTTAAATCGATTCACGCGAGCCATTCGATTGAATTATTCCCACATCGTCGCATTTAGTACATTATAGGTGGGTATCTGCGCCAATCGCACGCAATTGTATAATGCGTGGCTGTGTACACGTGTGCGTACGTGTGTTACAAAAGCGATACAGTTATCGGTAATTAATTATTGCTCGGTCTATTTGCGCTTTTCCTTCTCGCTCGTTGTTAATGATACATATTCTCATTCCCTCCTATAAATTACCGCGTCTTCTAAAAACGTGGCAAAACAATTTTTAATCAAACGTGTAAATCATTAAAAACTGAATTAAACTTCAGGTTTTATGTAATTAAAGAAGATCCAAAAACAATGAAACATCGAACATGAAATGTGTATTATTACTTCTCAGGTCGACGTTTTAAATGTTTTATTTTGCATAAAAATCGGCAGTCGAGTAATTAAAATTTTTCGCGAATCATTTATTCAAAGGAAAACTGTTCGTTCGCCGAGAGATATTCCATTTTGAAAAAAATTCGGTAGCCAAATTTAAGCGTTAAAATGCGCCTCCAAAAATCTGTCGCTATTCGATATCGACGGCTGATGGAATTAAGCGATTTTACACGGAATTTTAATCCCAAGGCGTACCGTTAAAAATGTCGATCATCGATTAATCCATCGGTGAAACGTTTTTATTCCTCGCTAACCTATTCATCGTTTCGTTAATTATACCGCACGAACGTAACTATTCAATCCCTGTTCTGCACGTCCGTATTCTTTCGCGACGCGAGAGCTATTTAATCGCCAGGGTGACTTGTAGAAAAGCGATAACAAATTTAAACGGTGATACGAATTGCGGGAAACTGTACGGTGAAAAAGCGGTCATTATCCATGGAACGTTAGTTAATCATTATAGTTGCTGCGACCACGGTTACGGTCTGGTTAGTTAACTAAAGTTGCGTAATTTATTGCCAGCCGAATTTTGGTTGCATTATATGGTCCATTAGCATGATAACAGGGAACTATTTGACGTACACGGAAATTCCGACGCGATGCACCTCTCCGCGTCGCGCTGTCCTCTTCCTGCCCGCGATCCAATACAAATTGATAATCACAATTACGAAGTTTATACTAATAACGATTTAATTGCGATACACAAGCCGCGATCTACTTTCCGCCGCGATTATTACTTTCCGCGTAGCCGACGTCGACGCGGCGCCAGTTGGTTAATCGTCTCTCGAGGATGACGATTCACGCGATTTCCTTCATCCGCGCCCTATCAAGACCACCCCTTGCGAAAACTGTATCATCCACAATTTCATTTTTAATTGATGTATTCATTACATTATATGTATTCATCTCTTCAGCAATTTTGTTTTCTTCCGTTTTTCCACATTCTTTTTTCATGTACAATTACAGATATGATTTATGAGCAATTGATCATGTAGGACGCATAACATCGTGCTGTTAATCCGAGCTAATTCATACGAAGCTACACGTACGTTACGGCTGTTTATCGAAAAGTCGATACACGTGTTTAGCGGTAATTACGCATTGTGACGCGGATACGAAACTGCACAAATTCCTGCGATCCCAATTCAACGATATATTGCAATAACTGACGAGATGCAGAGAAATTTTAAGCATCCCGTGTTAGCGGCAATTCTAGATTTCAATCTATTCCAACTAATCATCTTAAAACCTGTTGTTTACATTTTTCAATGCCTCTTATTCATCAAGTTGAATTTTCAGTTGCTCGTTTTCTATTATTTTTAATTAGATTCTACAAGCACTGTACCATGTAAACTCTTATACCACAAATTTTTATGCGAAAAGTACATTTTACGTCGAAATTTCACTTGTCATTTAATCCTTGCGATATCCAATCTACTTTTAATACTTTTTAATAATTTTAAATACTTTTAATAATTTTGCATTATGTACAATAGATTATAATTTTCTGACCAATTTTCTTATAAATACATAAAATCTACAGTGTAGTAATAATTCACAAATTGTTCACAAGTATTGTTATTTTAAATTATTTATTTCTGATTGATTCGCTTACCGGCCGGTGACGTGACGGAAACGGATTGACCCGTACATTGTTGACTAGAATTCTGACTGCTGTTGCCCCCCGTGCTTGTGCTCAATTTCCTTAACTGCTTCTTGTGCTTCATTCGACGATTCTGAAACCACGTTTTCACTTGGGTCTCCGAGAGGTGAAGAGCCGCCGCAAGCTCGACCCTTTCCGGCGTGCTGAGGTACCTCTGCACCTCGAATCTCGCTTCCAAACCCGCTAATTGTTGATCACTGAACACCTAAATGCGATAGAAAGAATACTAGAAGATTAACGCGTTCAATTAGCCAAATTGTTTTAATTTCTGCACAAATTCTTTTAACCTTCCAATTGCAATAAATTCTCGCGATTAAACTGCACATAGCGAATGTCTCAGCTTCTGTTCATGTCACAATTTCTATTGATTGGCGTATTTTTCTATGATCTTATAAGTTATTTTGGAACTATAGAAGAATGAATAAGTGAATAGAAATTGTGACATGAACGTTTATCTTATTTAAATAATTCAGCTTCTATTTTGGCGCATTAATATAAGCGAAATAAGGATTTTAAGTAGTATCACTCACTGTTCGTGCCTTCCGTCGACGGCAATGCTTCAAGGCCGCGAGTTCAGTAACCCCTGGTACCACTCCGACCCCCATCGGGGTGTTACCGAAAAGTGGTCCCAGGAAGAATGCTGCCGTCGGCGGCGCGGACGGGTAACCAGGTAACAGACTGGCGAATTGTTGGTACTGTTGATGCTGCACACCATGGCTGGACGTTAAGTGCTGGTGGTGGAGTTGATGATGAGATAGCGGAGGGTCCGTGCCGCAGCTCAAGATGTCCTTGATCAGAAACGAAGTTCTACTGGCGGAAGTTCCGTTCTGACCTGGCTGGGCCTGTTGCTGTTGACAGGTCGACTGCATTTTCATAGATCAGCGATATCGAGTCTTAACACTTGACAGTTTGTTACATAGTTAACGAGTTGAACAGATCACTTTAACACGATTCTTCGTATAATATTTAATACGAATCCTTGTCTTTTAAGTTGTACTAAAAAATTGAATTTGTCTCAATTTTGTTCAACTTCTACGATACTTCATATAACAGAACGTCTGAATATTGAATGTCCATCAGTTTATTTACACATCATTTTTAACATGAAATCACTGCACGATCAGCCTTACGTGTTTAAAACATGATCATTCGACTTTCACAAATCCCAAAACGATCCTCCGAGTGTCAATCAGGTTTCTAATCCAGTTTATCACAATTAGAACTGCACTGCCAATACACTATCCGTAGCTTGACATGCAGTATCATCCACAGACGAATATTACAAGTAAACCTCGAATGTTTCACGGATCCTTATCACTGATTCGTTCACTGAAACGTTGAATAAAGACTCGGTTGACAGGCACAGCTCCATAACACTGCGCGTTCCCGAGACGAATCCAATCAATCCCGCGCGACACAAGAATGGAAGAAAGAGTCCAGATAGAAGTTCGTTTTGGCGCGTTCCAGGTCGCCCGGTAAAATTCTAATTGATTCGTCAGCTGTAGGAAGGAGAGAGCGTCGCGTCGCGTCGTCGTCGCCGTCGCCGTCGTCGTCGTCGACGTTTAGGGAGTATCGGTGCGCGATTCAAGACGATTCAAGCACCCGCGCGCCGCGATCATCTCCACCCTCAGCCGCTTTAACTAGCCGAGAGGAGTAAAGCTCGGAAGCGGATATCGCCGGGCTCGAGTGACGCCGGCATTGGTTGGCGTCGCGACGCCGACCGTCGCCGGGGTTGGTTCGACGATGCCACCGGGGCGGTTCCAACCCTGTTTCCATGGACACGACGGCGGTGCCCGTCGGTGGTTCCAGCCGGATCGCGACCGATTCTCACCCCCTTTCGCGACACCCGCACGACGGATACGTGAAAGAGAAAGGGAGGGACGGAGGAAGGTTCGTTCCTTCCACTATATCCCGCGGGCTTCCCATGTTGTTGCGCATTCACATCGACTGCACGATAACGGTGTTCACGCGTGTACTTTTGAGGCAGCTTTCCCTACCGCTTAAATTGTATTTCTTTTGCTCCCATTCTTTTTTTTTTCGCCTACCGTGTCGCGTCGACTCGGTCGCCGGGTTTTGGTCGCCGGAATGAATCGCAGCTATTCCTAGATTTTTCCCTCTGAAGATTTACCTTTGTCCGTTCCGTTTTATCTTTGATTTTTTTACTTTGTATGAGATCCAATAGTGCGCGTGCTGAGGTTCGAGCAGGTGACTCCTATGATCGTGAGTTCCTATTATATTGTTTAATACCGTGCCGTCTGTTTTTCTCTACATGGTAACAGTTGTGCAACTTGTTACGAAACATAAAGTACTTTGAATCGATTGCGAAATTATCCCTCTATTAAAATTTAAATTCGTAGATATGTACGGAATTAAAAATATCAAATATCAATTACTGTTGATGAACTATTCAGCACTCTATATTTGTATCGATTAACGTTGATTTTTCTACTTAACTTGATACTTTCATTTACGTTTCACTCGTTCAGTCATTCACAGAGTGTATTCAGTATTCAGGGACATAAAAGATGAAGTGTACATTATTCTTATCCAAATTGCATTTTCTAAACTGAGATTGAGAACGTTTTGCTTTGGCTAAAGAGAGTAATAAATATTCTTATCGTTCATAATCTACAGGCAATGACTTAACTGCCGTTGGCAGAGAAAGGCAGCTCGTACATTCGTGTCGTATTTATCTTCATCCGTGTTATTTTTCACTCCTTTTCTCGCGCATTTTTCGCTATCTCGTCAGTATTGATCCTTGGCCCACGTCACGGTATGTATATAAAAGCAGCTTTTCGCAAGTCAATACATCTGTATCGAATCTTGAAAGGGTGGAGAATGCGGATCAGGAGAAGCCAGGAGCATCGGATTAGATTACTTATCGGACGATGTGTACAGCACGTTCAAAATGGCCGGGTGTATACACATAAACCGGTGTATAGTACATCCTCCACCTCTCTCGATCGACTCGGGTTATTATGGCATCACGAAACCGTTTTCGTAGATGCCAACACAATTTTTTTACCCCGAGACGCGCCGAGCACCGTCTGCGACCCCTAATTGCCGCCATCGTGGAATCTTTTAACGAACTTCTCTCGAGCTCCTTCCTTTTTTCTTCTCCCTCCTCCCTGAAAGATGTACTCTGTTCACCTCGGTTAAACTGTAGCTAGTATTCCTCAGATTTTTCATGCCTTTTTTTCTTCGACCGTAGTTAGAATCTATACAATTTCCGAATCCAGAAACAAATTCACTTACTTGTTCTGTGGAATGATTTTACTGACGAGGAACTGTCTGATCATGAATAGGAAAAAAATAATCCTCGTGAAGATCTTTGGAACGATTTGATACGTTCTAATGGTCAGCAGCTTAAAAAAACATTCCGTTACGAGTTGTTTAGCAAAACGCACGCGTAACGACCGGGTGCAATCATCCGGGAAGCTTGAGCTGGCGTATTCATCCTCTATTAGACGTATTAGGGGCTCTCTCTATACTTGGGCGACGGCGGAAGGGAGAAGAGGCGCGTGCCGGCATTTAGACGGGGTTGCTTCCGCGATTATTGAGTAAATTAACGTCCCGGTAATTGTGTTACCGACGCGTGTCCATTCATCCGTTCCGTCCCGTCGGTCCCTCTGCGGCCCCGCAATCCGCCGGCGCGGCGTCGGCGGCGCGACGCAGCCACCGACGAAGACCCGTCTGCGAGCTTAACGCTGACGAAACCAGCCCTTACCCATACCAGATCTAACTGAAACCGCGTCCAAGCGCTCTAAACAAACCCTCCCGGGACTTGTTAAACGAAAAACGAACAACGGATCACTTCGATCAGCGACTTTCGCTTCGTAAGGATTACTGCCCCTGTGTGCATGAAAACTACACAGTTTTTCCGGAAATTATTTCACATATAAATGGAAAAGTAAACGAAACACGGTCTTGGTTCACATACTTTATTAACTTTGCATTTCGCAATGAGAATGACATTTATTAAAAAAATTAACTTATGTAATCTACAAAAAAGAGTATATGTGTGACTAAATGCATATAATCTAATATTTAACAGAATTAATATTGTAAAAATAACTGTGTTCTATAAAGAATTTGATCTTTATCATAATGTTGCAAGTAAAGCACTTAATAATGTCTCCTGTTATCATTCTCGTATCTTATCACGAGACCTTAAATCTCCAAGTTTAAAGACCTTTAGCTCTGATAAAAATACTGTACAGCGTTGCGATAGACTTTATATCTTTGTTAAATAAATTTGAAACATGGCAAATTGTATACATATAAACAGCTCCCACTTCTAATCGAACGATGCAAATAATAAGAGAGAAACTATTGAAAGATATTAATATGATGTTATTCTGCACGTTTAACTTCGTAATAATTGCATCAATTGGCCACCTGCTCATGAATGTGCTTCGAAACCTTTAAAATGTTTTTAAATCTGTATCAGTAGTCTCGATTCCTGTTTGATTACGCGAATTCGTCGTAGTCTGTCCGCGCTCTATTGTAGAAGGCTCGCGAGAAAGTGGCCGGGCTTTGCCTGCCGCAGAAGAAGAAACCGCGTCGCCAGAAGACGAAGACCGTCAGGCAAACTGGAATGGCGAGCAATAAACCGATCAAGACGCCTATAAGTATGGTGGCATCTCTTTCCGGTCGCGCTCCGTACAGGTCCAAGCAACGTAGCGTTCGATGGGACAAAGATGTCAGATTTCTGCCCTCGTGTTCCGGCGGCGAAGCGCAAACGAGCGAATCGACTTCATCCTTCATCAGTTTTCTTCCGTATTTCGGCAGCAACGTTCCGATCTAAGCTCGCACAAAACATTTCTCTTGTCGTGTATTTCAATCTATTGTTTCGTTCAGCTTTGGTTTTTAGAGAGCTTGGGTGTGCCAATTACGAAAATATTTACACCAGGCTTCGGTTTAATTCAATTTAAAATAGTTGAATGAAACTGGTAGAAAAATGGGGTTTGCAAGTTACGAACAGATTGATTTGCAAATTGGTATTGGTATCCTTGGGGTGACAGATCGATCGGCGCGATATAGGACCCCTACGTGCCTCGCGATCCAAACGTTCGCGGACTGTGTATTTCGTGATTGCCAGAACTTACCAGATATTGATTATCGCAATCGCAGCTCCATTTGTTGTTCATCAGATCCAATTCTTCGAGCAAGTCCCACTTTTCTACGAACCGCTGAGGCAAATATCGCAGGGCGTTATCCGATAAATCGAGTCTCTTCAGCGGCGGCCAAACCGGTTGCGAATTGTTCTACAATAATTTCGTTTGTTTAACAATATTCTTCTCAAACTTAATTATCTTCATCATAGCTTTTTAATCTTTCACGTTCGCTGTTTAACCAGGAATTTTTAAATAATCGGCTAGCTTATCGTAGAACGTATACGTTACCTCAGACGGAAGCGCGTACTCGTTGATTGATTCCAATTTCGGACAATTCTGTATTCGGAGATGCTCGAGCCCGGTCAAGCCTGAAAAGGAACCTGCACCGACCACTGTCAAATGTGGCATACAGCAGAGGCTCAGCTCCTTCAGCTTTGGCATTATCGGGAACGACTGATGTGAATTGATTATTTGAATAGGATTCTCATCCATGTAAAGCACTTCCAGCGTCAGTGCCTCGTTCAGTGAAGCCGGCGGGATGAAAAATTTGTTCCCGCTTATGTTCAGTTTCTTAAGATGTCTGATTAATCATACATTTAACGAGTTTTAATAAACGATTATTTATAGAATAATATGTTTTTTATAAAAATACAAATTATTATTAGTAACGTTAATAGTAAATCGAAAAGTGTTTCCGAGGTTTTATGTAGACTGCAACTCATGTGTACATAGATGTCTGCTACTCCTTATCAATTTAATCGGAATTACTTTGTATCTCTATATGTCCACTAGTTCGGTATTAGTTCAATAAAAGATTGCGAGATACTTGCATGGCCGTGCGAAATAGATGTTCCGGGAGTGTCGTCAAGTTGCAATAGCTCAGGTCCAATTCTTCCAGTTGTGAAAGAGAGGAGAGCGCTATGGTAGTACGTGCGTCGATATTCGTCAATGGATTTCCAGATAGATTCAATATTTTAAGGCTCGACATGTGCTCGAAAATGTCCTGGTTTAACCAGTGAAGCTTGTTATGAGCCATATTTAAGGTCACCAACTTTTCTAATGGCTCGTAAGCGAATGGAGAGAACTTGCCCTGAAATTTTCATGAATATTATTTTTTTTAATTACCGCGTCAAATTAAAAGCTATTGCATTTTTTTAGAAAGAACATCGTCAGTGCTAAGAATTGAGTTTCATTTCTCGGGGATCTAAACTTCCGAGATAACAATTGAATAATACAGTGACTAACAGAGATTAAGTTAGTCACCGCCTTCCAGTTAGATTAGTAATAAAGTAAATCAATAAATACGATGTACTAAATGAAAATAATAATGACGTAAAAAAATGAATTACCTCAAATACTGACGGACGCAACGCTTCCCCCGTAAGATAATTATAACTCAAATCAAGTTCGGTGAGATTGATGATCTGTTTGAAAGCTCTATCATCGATGCTTGTAATTTCATTATGTTGCAAGATCAATTTCTTGATTCCCACTTTCGGGAACGCTTTCACGTGAACTAATGAATTGTTTTTGAACAACATTATTGGCATCGATTTATTTGGCCATTGAGAGTCTTCGAAGTGGTTCGTTAAATTTTTATTATCGCAATCTATGATATCACCTGATAAGAAAACGTCGTCACTCGTTAGAACAACGTTCACATATAAGTATGGAAATTGTTAATTCCTATCAATGTTAATACAATCGAACTTTCAAAATATATTATAAATACACCAAAGTCTATACCTGTGAAATTGCATACGGTATACAAATTTGGTTTCACTACCTCTTCAGTTTTGTTCGTTTTACTCGTTTCCACATTTTTCGTATCCGTCGCGTTCGTTTCGGTAACATTGTGGCTGTTAACATTCCACACGCATAAGCAGAAGATAAGTAACAATCTGTATTCCATAGTTTCTTACGGATTGGCACTGGTCGTGCTTCAGGTGTACAACTGAGAATCGGTTTCCTGTATCAGACGACTACCTCTGATAAGGTAACTGATGGTGGTGATAAGATACTGATTGCGGTTTGTTAGTCATCGCACAGGCAGATATATACTTTCGATTTTAACTCTTCCAACTTAAAAGTATAGATTTATTTTCTTATGTTACACATACATTCTATTACAATTATAATTACAATTTAAATTAAGAAAGGTTCTACGCAATTTCCTTCTATTTCCATTCGTTAAAGAATAATTGACAATGAACGAAAGAAATTTTAATTTTTCCAAGATTTTGTCAAGATTTTTCTAAATTTTCGTTTTTTCTCAAATATTCTTAAACCGTTGGACCTAAGATCTTTTTCTTCGTCCTAGCGAAAAATGTTTCAAAGAAAAGTTGTATTTCTAGCTGTCAGTGATTACCGACTGTGTTTTGGATTACATTGAATCCCATTTGCTGTCCCAACAATTACACGAGCGCTACTACTCTTTAATAGTATCTCCTTGGTGATGAACATTAGATATCTCTCAATTATCAATAAGTATTGAAAATTTCGAATACTCCGGGACGTTCGCGGGACGATTGAATTGAAGGGACAAAACTGCGTCGGTGCAGCCATCTAGCGGCGATCCGCGGTACCAACGGCAGAAGAGAAATGTTCGCGAAAAGTATTGAATCGGTGACGTCACAAAAGACGTGTCAGTGGAAGGAGTAGACGGGTTTGTGGAGGAGCGTGTTGAAAAATGTCCGATTACTTTAATTTATCGTACGGCGTGAATAGCGGGTAAACAGAGGTGTCCGTGTTGACGCGCGCGTGAACGGTAGATCGGTGTCGGTACACCGATCATCGTCGAGCCCCGAGGTATCACGTGGAGCAAGAAGATAAAATCCAGTTTCCGAAGAGAGCAGTCAGACACGCCGACCGAAATATCGTTGGAAAATAAAACTCGTTCGACTGGCCAGTTGTTTTTTTCATCGCGTTTGGATTCGGCGATACGGTAAGTGATCGAGAAACGAACGTTCGATCGATCATCGTTACGCAGACGGACAGCTGTTCCCCGGGCATATCGTACGTTCGGTCTAATTCATACTTCGCTGGGCCATGCACCTGCTAGTTAGTGAGGTTAGGTTCATTTATTCGTTCTTGGTGCGCCGATACACGCGAAAAACTTGTTTCGTGCGCAATGCCCCTCGCCTTCCCTCCCAGTGAACGCCCATTTCTCGCGGCCTGCCTTGACAGAATTGCGGATTGATACGATCGATATTGTTAAGGGTCTTCCAAAGACTGACTTTTTCCAATGACACCGTGCGTATCCATCCGACTCATCCTCGCTACCAACCGCTTTTCAATTAGCGGTCGTTATCTAACATACTACGCTCCTTGCAATTTATTCTTTCAATTGAAATAATAATTGTTCCCCTAAACATGCACTACCTAGACAGCAAGTTAATTCTATGCTAAACGTCTCATAATTATAAACATTCTACCTAGATAAAAATACATGATTGATTACTTATAGTACAAGTCTTCACAGGTTGTTTTAATTCTTCTATTAACCACATGACTATCTATCGTAACGCCCACGTACTTGTTCATAAGATAAGTAACTGGCGGGAATGCCTTTATGTTCGTTATCATGTTCCTGTATTTGCCAATAACAGTTGACATTTATAACAAAAGAAATGTAATTCCTTATAAAGTACCAGCAAGAATATATAATCGCGGGTAATAAATTACGTTACTTAAAACTGTATACCGGTGAACGATGAAAATTAGTAGCATGGACCAGCTAGTGTCTACTCCCGTTTATTTAGAACCCAGTTAAGTGAATTACGTCAAACAATAAACGTGCAGCCTCACGACGCAGGAATATTACCGATGCAACCGAGCAAATCGCCTGTTTACATCGTATCGATGGAACCGGTTGCAATCTTCCAGAGAATTTGTTTACGAAAAAAATGAGAAAAACAAGTCTGCAGTTATAATCGGCGATATGCACGCTACAATGTATATATAAATACTGTGAATACTATAATCTTCTTGACTGGACGAGTATTTTACTTGTATTAAGAGGACTGCGAATTTTTAATTCTCACGAGCATGTTTAAGAAGAAGTGATCTAATTAGAAATTTTCTTCATACATTATGCGGCTGTTTACCATATTTTATGTACGCTCGTTTTTATAGTTCTGTATCTGATTTAACTAAAGATATTCAGTATTGAGAATGATGTTTTGTGTAATCGAAAATTTGTGTCTTTTAACGACAAACGAGAACACATCTCTCTTTTCCGTTTCGGAGTAGAAAAATGAGGTAAAACAAGATTTCGACTGAGAGAAGTTGAAACGAAACGAAGTCGAATTTCCCGCATTTTATCGAGCTCCCGATAGTGGAACCGTTGCGCAGCGATGGTAAGGGGATCGGCGCCGTCGGCAGCGGTGGCCCCTTGTAGTTTTTGCTACGCCCTCTTCGCATGAAAATGATTCTTCCCCGGCGCGGAGCGGCGCGGCGTGCCGTGGTAGTAGGGATCGCCGACCGTTGGTTATCGAACGTGTTTGACTGACAGTTGGACTATCTCGTGTCAGGCTCACGATGAAAGGGAGAAAGAAAAACAGCTTCTGGCCTCTGCATTAACGCCCACTGAAACGATCCCCGGTGCCGTTCTTTAAATTCTGCTCTATCTTTCTCTGTCTCTCCGTGGGCACCGGTTTTCGTTGCGGCTGTCACAACGCCGGTTTTTAAATACGCCGTTTGACTGACAAGTAGTAAACAAGTCCGTTCGCCCACCACGGGATACCATCTTTGTCGTAATTAACTCTTTTCCGTGCCGGATCAGTCTCGTGTGCTCGCGTCAAACGTGTTTCTTGTGGTGAAATTGTTTTTACTCGCGCGTCATGGTGTTTCGGACTCAATTTTTAAAATGTTAGACTCTCGTGCAAAACAAGTCAGGCTTCTCCAAGGTGACTCTTTTTCAGATAACATATCAATTATTGGTTAAACGTTTCTGATAATTAGTTCTTAATTATGCATGTGGTATGAACATTACTCGCGTTACGACACTGTCCGTCTTTATGACTTATTGAACAAGTGAAAAATGGTAAACAAATTCTTTCCAGCTTTTAAGATACATTTCTCATTGGCTATTTTGCCAAATGCATTCTGTATTTTTTTTTTATTAATACACAATAATCCGCGATTCTAAGCATAAAGTGATCTATCGAATGCGCCATGAAATAAGTTAGTACAAATATTTAACCACTGACGTATACTCAGGGCAATTTAAGTACATGCTTTCCTACGCTCGAAAGTGATCACTAGCTATATCTTTGGCACTTAAAGAGTTAAAGATTTGTTTCTCTTATTAGCGCTCGTAAATACGTTTCATTGCTCATACGGCTACTGTGTTTTAAACGTGAATCACTGACTATGTCTTTTATTACGCTATGTATTTCACTTAAAAACAATCACACACGTTTCCTACTCTCACAAGTGATAGTAACAATGGTAGTAATTTTTTACAACAAGCAATAACTGATAAGTTAATTTCGAAGTGCGTACATTAATATATTGCTCTGATCGCGCTTTTAAGTACAAGCGTATGTATTAATCACAATATTTTTAAAGACACGAACACTCATATCTCTTTGTTTCTTATCGAATAACTTATACTGTCCCTTACTTTTAGATTACACACGTTGTTAATTGTATATTTTTAGTCTGTAATACCCAGCTTCGGTGTCGTAGCAGTCATTAACTTGTTAAACAAAATCAACACGCGTTACGCTATAAATCGCGCGAGCATAACACGCATTCGTCATTGCGTAGTTTCCGCCCGATCTACTTCATTTGAATTAATAACGGCGCATAATTTTAAGCTGCGTACGCGACACAATGAGAGCGAAAGTGCTTTGAATTCTTGCTCAACGAAAATACTAGATGTCTGTGTAATTTTGAAACGCTTATTCTGTAAATAGGAATCCGTCTGTATAAACAGTTTTAAAAAGAATTACCAACTACAGTTTTTATTTCGTTGTCGAGGGACGTGTTTATTCATTCAGTCTGAACATTATAATAGGTATTGTTTTACATTTCAAATCGAAAGCGAATCTGAATAACCAGGAAATTAAATGGAAATAAATTATGATAATTATATCATTAATTAAAGTAAAATTAATGCACAGAACTAAATTTTCCGTGTCTTATAAGTAGAATAAGTAAGTCACTTATTCTTAAAACGTCAATACGTTTGACGTATAGGAATAATTAAAAATTAAAGCATGCACCTTGAGAATGCGAAAATTCTGTAATATCATTCTAACTTAACATATTGTATTCTAGCTTCTGATATCTTATAGAATCTACATGAGACCTTCTCTGCTATTACTACATGACCGAGTCGCTAATTATACTTCATATAAAAGCTACATAATTCATTTTATTCCCTTTTGTAAAAAGCAGATCGCGATCGAGTTAAATGAGGTCGTATTACGCATAAAATTTGTATATTCACTGTTGCTTGCACAAGTTTTCTTCGCGTGCATTTTATCTCGCGACCATGGGTACCAGCACGTGTCACATAGTGGTATAAATTGACTTATACGAGCACACGGAAGTCAGATATCTATTGAGGACGTACAGGCCGATATTTCAATGAGCATTACGGATTACGCAAATATATTTTTACTGGTTTCTCTGCCGTCCTCTGGCTCGTTAGAGTATACGCGTTTGGCAACAGCTGCGTTCAAATACCATCGGGCATATCCAAGAATTCGAAAGCGATGCAACGCGTCGTTTGAGGGAGTAAAATGAAGAAGAGAGCCGTCACACCCTTCTCGCTTCGTTCTAGCAACACGCGCGGCGATTACGGAAGATGAGAAAGGAAAACGGCTGAACTTTTCGGTATTAGCTCAGAAGCCTGAGAAGCTTTAATCAACGGGCGTAGCGTACGAAAAGAAACTAGAAGCAAACGAAATGGTAAACAGTATAAAATAGTAAGAACGGGGAAAGCTTTACTGAAAGTTTTATCTGCTAATGAAGGGAGCTTAGCTTGATTAAATTTTAGAATACTAATTTAGCTAATAGTTCTAGTATTACCGATAGTAATACGTTTCTTGTAATGTACTTTTAATGTAATACAGGAAATGATTACTTATTTTCATGTAAATTAAATAAACGTGTCTCACGTTTTCTATAAAATTTTTAGTATGTAAATTGTGGGAACTTCTGTTAACGGCTATTCGTAGAACAAGCATAAAATCAACAACATGAAGAGATTTTATTGTTAATTATCTTCGTGTGAATCGATGTAAAGGTAACAAGACAATGGCTAAATCTGCAATGCTCAAGTTTCGATGAACTGATAATTACGGTTGGAGGAGCACAAGGTTGTTAACACGAAAAGTGCGTGTTTGGGAAGAAGCAGTATTGCTTATGAAATACAAACTACGCAGAAGCTAAACATGATCAACTTTACTTTCGGACAATCCAGCAAATTCGTTTTGGATAAATTTGATCAATTCCGAATTTTCAGAACAGTGTGTGTAAATCTTTGCAGATGGAATGTAGAGAAACGGGCAGGCATGAGAGAAAATGGAATATTCGACGAAGCATCGCGCACAAGCCTGCGTGGAGAGATACGTAATTTGATGTTTGCATTAAGAAGGAGACCGTGAAACAGAAAGACTTGAGAGGCAGAAAAGAAAGGAACAAGTTTAAAGCCGTCTCGATGTGTGAATGCACCGGTGGAAACGAGCCCCGCTGACCGTACACAGCGTCAGCGATAATATTTTTAAATGAAAGCGGCGAGAGAGACGACAGGCACAATAAATATCGGGTTTAACGTAAAGATGCGAGCGATGTGGAAGCACCACTTGCAAGTAATGGTAGCTCTGTCGAACCTCCTTTTTCTACACGGCTTCGCAACGAGGAGTGCCACCTTCTTCTTTCTCCTCGCTACTTCGCTGCGTTTACTTTGATGTATCCGACACTTCTTTTTATTTATATTGACACTTCTTCACGCTCGCCCGTTCTTTAGCCTCGTTTAATTATCAACGTGTGCGGATCGTTGACTTTCATCGAACTGAGAAACACTGCTGCAAGTTGTTTTAAAAGTGATAAAAAATAGGTGTGTAATTCCGATCGAAAGACGCTTCGCGTTTAATTATCGCTTCGAGTATGAATTATCGCTTTAAAAATTAACTTCCGTAAAATAAGTAGAATAGCATGTAGTAAATAGTCGACGTATCACGAATTATGTAAAATTGTAGGAAATTACGTTACTTCATCGAGGTCGTTTGGCTGTTCTGCAAATTTGTTTCTCTTTTTTTATCGATAATTATCGCGAATAACTGCGGTTTTTGGGGTCGTCGCCGTCGCCTCGTCCGCCAGTTTTCGCGTGTGTCGCAGTACTTTATTTATTCATATCGAGGGAACGTGTATGGGGATCGGGGAAAATTCAAAAGGAACGTTCGGAATGGGAAGCAGAACTGGTGCCAGCAACAGTGCTGATGGTGTTGAGACCGTCTAACGATGACATTTAAATGCAGTGCCGCGCATCGTTTCGTTCTCCGTGCCACCACGATTCCCTTCTTCCTTCGTTCCCTTCCTTTTTCCCACGTTCCCCGGCTCATCTCTGCGCGAAATACGCGCGGATATCTTATGTACAAAATGTGCGATACCTTTATCTCATTGTCCTTATATTTTCGCCAAATGTTCGTTTAGTATATACGCGGACTTTTAAACAAAATATTAATCTTCTATTTATCTTGTCTAAATTCCAGTTCAACAATTGCAAATTAATGCAACTATCAGTTCATTGTACGAAGTAGATGTTTGATCTATCTTTTAAGAAGATATGCATTCAATGGCAGTGATGATTACTGAACAACGTGTATGGTTTTTGTTACAGTATAATTCTGTGGGAATTGTCGAAGGATCGAGGGTAGGTCGAAGGATATTTAAAGAAGAAGCCCTGTGGGATTTGGGCAACGATGGAAGCTGCCAGACAGGAATGATAGGTATCAAGAGCATCATTTCCATTCTAAAATACAAGCATAGTAAAAAGCAAAATAAAAATAACAAAAGTAGCGGTTTAAAGTTATTATTATTGTCGCATAAGCAAGCTTTTCCCGCGACTATTGCAATTTATAAATGATAAAACGCATTGTTCTTTTAGAAGTCCACAGTTCACTGATTATACTTAAAAAATAAATGGCGAATTGATTATATTTATGCAGAATGCAAGAGGGTAGCACCGCCGTGGCGCTAGCGATGGTGACTCCTGGCTACGATCAGGACCCTGCAAGTGGGGTTGCCGATTACACGGCTCATCAGGATCAAGCCCAATTTGAGGCGGACAAAAGGGCGGTTTACAAGCATCCCCTCTTCCCGTTACTCGCGTTACTCTTCGAAAGATGCGAACAGGCCACCCAGAGTTCGGACAATTCGACGTCCGAAAGCTTCAACATGGATATACAGGCCTTCGTCCAACACCAAGAAAGAGACCGAAAGCCTTTCTTGATCAATGACCCCGAAATTGACGGTTTGGTAAGTTCCCTTAATGTATAAATCCTTGATTTTCAAAAAACGGATCATTTTAGAAGGAGGCATATTGACTTTCAAATTTATTTAAATCGGAATTCAGCACAATATTAGCTTATAGAAATGTTTTGAAATTGATATGGTAGATCCGTGTTTCTCGTTGTAAAACAAAAGAGGGAGAAACGATGAGCGAGTGGTTGCGCGAGTCGATGTATGTATAAAAAGAAGATCGTTCGGGCAACCAATATTGTTTTTCTGTCCCTGCCGACGCAGATGATCAAGGCGATACAGGTGCTGCGGATTCATCTACTCGAACTGGAAAAGGTGCAGGAGCTGTGCAAGGACTTTTGCAACAGGTACATCACGTGCCTGAAGGGCAAGATGCAGAGCGAGAATCTGCTGCGCAGCGATTACAGCCACCATGGACACGACATGGGTCCGTCCAGTGGCAGCAACGGGAGCAGTCCTTTACAGGTTAGATATTATTTTGAACGAATGTATTAAGGCGGCCTTGGCCTTCGTCTCCCCCTTTACCTATGTAGTTATCCTTTTTTTTAGTGATGCGCAAGAATCACGAGTATGTACACGCTCCTTTCTCTTTGCCTCTATCTCTTAACTTTTCGATGGCTTAAGTCGATTAAAGAAGCCATACCTTCTCGATGTTGAAGTTGTTGTTTCGTAGAGAAGTTGTATAAGTGTTAGAGTCGAAGATGAACTGATAGAAATGATAGAATAGTAAAAATTTCCTGACCCTCTGTCGAAAACTTCATTTTGCGAGCACTTCGACGTAATTATAGTACTTGATGACAAAATCCGATCGACGGTTCTATAGTTAGTGATATTTCATTTATCGATATTGATGGATTGAAAAATTTGCGTAATATTAATTTCTATTTTCTATAAGCATTAAGAAAATGTTTCCTCGTTTTCTATCTATCCTTAAAATCTAACTAATCAATGGTGTTTCGAAACTAACCGCATGTTGTGTAAAATTCTTCAGGTAGGAATAGTTACATAACGATAGCAATAATGATGATAATAATATTGGGAACAAGTGAGTGATACTTGCGCGTCGCTCAAAAATATTATAGAACCCCCACCCCTGCTCTCTGACGGCTAGTTGCGACATATATTTCCCAGGTGCTGTCTTCTACAGGCAATGATGTTGAGTCGGGAGCTAACGGATTCAGAGTGAGCAGAGGAGACACCCTGTCGGAGAACGGTGGCGCGGTTCACACACCCGCTCTCGAGGAAACCGGTAACGACAGGCCGTCGTCGGTGCGGTCATCTTCCACTGCTCACCGATCGATCAGATCATCCAGCCAAGACAACGACGATCCCCTGTCACCTTCCACCGTACATGGAAGCACGCCTCTGTCACAAATCGGGGCTCATTCCTGTCCACCTGTTAACGACATGTATCTCGGTCAAGGTATATTCTACACTTCATACTTTCCTATTATGATATTTCCTATGCGATATCGAGTTTAACAATGTTCTCTATGTATTTTAATTTTTGTTTATTTTTTCCTTTTCGTTTAGCAACTTGTCTAAATTTAAAAGAAAGTGGTGAAATTATTTTGTTAACTTCGACGTAAGCATATTATACTTACGTTTATAGATGATATGGACTATGTGAATATTGGCGACAGAATATATTTAGAAGAGGCTGGCTATTGGGGCCTTCTTCCCTTACAGGAACGTGAAAATGAATTCGTCGATGTGGGAGATGTGAATGATGAAAAGTATTTTGGTTAGAATTTTTCAACGACTATGTGTTTTCATTTAAACAATAATCACTAATAACAATTATTATTCAATGATAATAATAATAGTACTGTCCCCTCTGCGTAAAGCTTTACTGTTTCTCAAATTATATGTGCACCGCGTTCATTTTATAGATATTACTGTGGCGGGTTCCCCTTCACCTGCACCAAGCGAGGACGAAGAAGAAGGCTGTGGCACTGGCACTGCTACTTCCAATCATAGTAGCGGTCACGGAGGTAGTCACAGTAGCATTAAAAAGGGAAGACAAAAACGGGGTGTCTTACCTAAACATGCTACCAGCATTATGCGAACCTGGCTCTTTGAACACCTAGTCGTAAGTATAATTATATTCAGACAATCAAATTAAGTTATTAAATTTAGAAGAAACTGCGAAAATATGGATGCCTGTTATCTGTTCCAGCATCCGTACCCTACGGAGGATGAGAAGCGTCAAATAGCGAGTCAAACAAACTTAACGTTACTGCAAGTAAATAATTGGTTCATCAACGCTCGTCGACGGATCCTGCAGCCGATGCTTGACGGCGCCGGTGCCGATCCGGTCCAGCGTGCCGGTAAACGTCATAAAGTATCGAAGCACGTGGCGCAGCAGCAGCAGCAGCAGCAAGCCCAGCAACAGCAGGCAGGTGGCTGGCAATCCGAGGACTCTGCAAGCGATTCGGGCTCTAGCGACGGTGAGGGAGGTGCCGATAGATCGAAAGACGGTAACGATAGCGACGAAGATGATCTTCACTGACCTCCGTCGATCACCGAAACGTCAACCTCTTTACGGTACCTTCGAATCCAGTTGCTCACTACAGTATTAAGGTATTCGAGAATAGATTTCGCTTTAACTGTCAAAATACGTAATTATTCTCGCGAAAAGTCAAGGGTATTATTGGTCGAGGTTATCACGCTCTCTCATCAAATCCGACAGACTTTTTTCTCGTTCTTTTCTTCGTCTTTTATCTCCTTTACTATTTACAGACGAATTCTAGGTTTTGAATCAAATCGGTAGATCCGTAAGGAATTCGTGAAATATAGGAGAAAAATATCGTGGATAATTCGTTTGAGAAAATGTGTTCTCTTCTATTCCATAAAAGAGAAGCATGACAAGGAAGAAACTACTTTTTATTAAATTCGAGAAAAAGAATCTTATATAGAATGAAGCTTCTTTCATGGAATTGTTATATTTTTCACCAGTTTCGTTGATTCGTTGATAAGCAGTGTTATTTTCTTCTTTGTAACGGTTCTTTATTTCTTACGATTTATTTATTCCTGATTGAATTGTTAATTTTGCATATGCAGTTCAGAGTGACGAACGAAGGTGCTACGTGTAGCATAGCTTAAGTCATCATTTCTTCCACGGCATTTAGTTAAACAGAGCGTAGTACTAATATCGGTAACTGGTTTATAGGAACAAATTATTATTTTTCGAGAAACACTTGAATGTTCGCGATACGAGAAGAGAATTTTGCGTGTAACGTGTACACATTTGTTCTATTTACTCGTTTATCGACGAACTTATGCAAAGTTGAAGCGATGACAAAGAGTCGGTGTGTTACTGTTTATATATTTTTATATCAATACTTTATTTCCTTAAATATACTTTTTCCTTGGCTTCGAAGCAACACGAATCGTCTTTCAATGTTCAATAATACTAAAAAAATGATACATACGTGATTAGAGAATTACAAATATAATTTTCATTAAGGAAGTACGTCGTTTAATTTTCAAGCAGTCTTTACGATATCTGTTCAGTTACAGAAACGTACATATAGTCGTCCCTCGAATTTTCCGAGGAATTACAATTAAACGGAGAGAAGACTAATAGTATTTAAAATAAAATAAACAGAATAAGATAACGAAGATCATCCTTTGACCATTTACTGGTGCGATTCAGTCTCACATAACTAAATTGACACAAGAATAGATATAGTAGAATTAATTTCCTGAAATGGGATACTTAGTACTTTCTATAGCGTTAAAACAGGAAATCGTCCAAACGAGACTATGTATAATAATAAGAATCTTGAATGATGGCGTGGACGTACGTCGTTCTCAACCCTTCCTATACTTAAAGTAAGCCACGACGATGTTTGTGCTACTACGTTTAAACATAAGACGAGATGTGTTTCTGTGATCGGTCGACATACACACACAACCATCGGACAGCAAAAAACAGTAAAACTATAATCGAAGATGAAAATGAAAAACAGAGCGCAAAGTGATTGCGATGATCAATTGTTACGACGAACAACAATCTCGGTCTTGTACTCTTCGTGCCATTAAAGAGCGTGGTAACTTACGCGTTTTAGTCTTTGTTCAGCTCTGCAGTGTCGTGACATAGCGAAGTGCTATCCCTCCAAGATAATAATAATAATAATAATAATAATAATAATAATAATAATAGTAACGATAACAATAATATTATTATTAATATAATACTATTTCGATTAATAACAATGATAATATAACAACTACTTTAAATATATGATGATTATATTTTTAAACTCTAAGTGTCGTCTTTAAAAAGATAAAAAGTGAAATATTGCGTGTACCGCAGTTGAACGAACGTGGTACTGCTGTACATATACAATACACATGGACTGTTAGAAATAAAAAGAAGAAGAAGAATATTAGTGTGATTATTCGAGAAGGAGAGAGCAAAGTGAAAACGCATGAGGGGAAAGAGATATCCTGTAAGATGACGTTACAGAGTCAAGAGATGTGAAAATAAAGCTCGACGACAAGCACACATGCCATTTTAGGATCATAAGTGTTCATACGTTTGCTGTCTCCATATGATCGGTTGCGTTTTACTGAAAGTATATATCCATCATGTCGCGAGTGCTGAATACTTGGCAAGACGGGTTTGTTTATATTAGCCTCCATTTAAATTTCATGACAATTAATCATCGTGTACATACATACGACGCCTGCGCTATAAAACTGTCTTCGATTTATCCTGCGATTATGTATTTCGAAGCGATCCGTCCATCGCATTTTCAATACCGCTGATACACTTTTCCGAAACGTTAACTGCCTTCTAAACGCTACCGAAACAGACATTTTTTTAAACTATCTTTGAGATCTAAGTATTCTACAGTTTTTACAAGATGAACTAACGAGCTTTATTGTTTTCACTTAAAGATTATGTCAGTTCGCATGTCGTTAATTTTCATACATTCAAGGTTCAGGAATTTTGCAGAAATGAAATTTCTTTCTAAAATTTTCTCTTGCGATTTTGTGAATTATTAGAACCAATGAACATCGAAATGCGTAAGAGAAACTGATATACTTCGACGCGACGAATTTCGTAGGATTTCTTGCGGTGTGATTCTTTAAGTATGCAGCACTCAATCGATTTATTTGCATAGTTCCATGCGATCAAAGAAATTTGTGATCCATGAGTGTATAGTTAAGAAATAAACGCTAGTCCGCTGATTGCTCTGCATTCGTAGCAAAGTTTTAATTATAAACGCTATTCTTGCAATGTTCGAACCGTGAGAGGAATATAAATCTTGTAAAAAGAAAGGATAAATTTTTTATCGCGCAAGATCAAAATGAGAACAGAACTGGGTGTATTTTATTTATTAAATGCGAAAGGGATAAGAGGTGTAACTTTTAGCTTCCTTGATGTACTTTACAAAATCCATTTATTGTGCGTGTGTGTGAGAGAATTACATTTACTCCGCAATTAAATGGTATCCTACTTTTTCTTTGGAAATACAGATGTAATCTATGTAAATAGCCGACAACAGGCACAGGGTGCTTCCATTAGTGGCTTACGAGCATTTTTCGAGGCAAACTTATGAGGGGAAAGAGATATCCTGTAAGATGACGTTACAGAGTCAAGAGATGTGAAAATAAAGCTCGACGACAAGCACACATGCCATTTTAGGATCATAAGTGTTCATACGTTTGCTGTCTCCATATGATCGGTTGCGTTTTACTGAAAGTATATATCCATCATGTCGCGAGTGCTGAATACTTGGCAAGACGGGTTTGTTTATATTAGCCTCCATTTAAATTTCATGACAATTAATCATCGTGTACATACATACGACGCCTGCGCTATAAAACTGTCTTCGATTTATCCTGCGATTATGTATTTCGAAGCGATCCGTCCATCGCATTTTCAATACCGCTGATACACTTTTCCGAAACGTTAACTGCCTTCTAAACGCTACCGAAACAGACATTTTTTTAAACTATCTTTGAGATCTAAGTATTCTACAGTTTTTACAAGATGAACTAACGAGCTTTATTGTTTTCACTTAAAGATTATGTCAGTTCGCATGTCGTTAATTTTCATACATTCAAGGTTCAGGAATTTTGCAGAAATGAAATTTCTTTCTAAAATTTTCTCTTGCGATTTTGTGAATTATTAGAACCAATGAACATCGAAATGCGTAAGAGAAACTGATATACTTCGACGCGACGAATTTCGTAGGATTTCTTGCGGTGTGATTCTTTAAGTATGCAGCACTCAATCGATTTATTTGCATAGTTCCATGCGATCAAAGAAATTTGTGATCCATGAGTGTATAGTTAAGAAATAAACGCTAGTCCGCTGATTGCTCTGCATTCGTAGCAAAGTTTTAATTATAAACGCTATTCTTGCAATGTTCGAACCGTGAGAGGAATATAAATCTTGTAAAAAGAAAGGATAAATTTTTTATCGCGCAAGATCAAAATGAGAACAGAACTGGGTGTATTTTATTTATTAAATGCGAAAGGGATAAGAGGTGTAACTTTTAGCTTCCTTGATGTACTTTACAAAATCCATTTATTGTGCGTGTGTGTGAGAGAATTACATTTACTCCGCAATTAAATGGTATCCTACTTTTTCTTTGGAAATACAGATGTAATCTATGTAAATAGCCGACAACAGGCACAGGGTGCTTCCATTAGTGGCTTACGAGCATTTTTCGAGGCAAACTTATTTTTCATTTTGTGTACTAGCTGGCCCACTGTGTTCTTCACGGCCAACACTAAACTCTGGAACAACGCGGATCAGTCTTTTAATTTATATTAGATTCGGAATAGAAGTGACACCAAAATAAGATCTGATTTCTTGGGGTTTACGATATCGTTCCAGAGTTATAAAGACTCTAGGCGGAAAAAGCCAGATGATCGAGGCAAAAGTAAAACGATAACATCAGTTGAAGACAGCTTTTATTACAGTATAGCTCCATATACGGTGTAGTGATGTAAGTAAAAATATTGGTCGAACGATCGTGGATAGAGAAAGAAATCAACGAACTTATTAAAAATTGAAATGTACGCTAATTCAAAAAATTCTTATTTAAATTTAAACGATCCACGATCAGCCGCACCGGTTAGATCGTCGCTGTTTTACAAATACCAGCAATAAATGCGCACTATCCGTAAAAGAATAGAATCTAAGATTATCGTCGCCTCGTATATAAGACGGTCAGATCCACCTGGTACGGGACTATACTGTACACTTTCGATTAAGTATAACTAATAAAGTAATAAAGGTAGAGATTAAGAGGTAGGTTGTAAGGCTGAACCACGTATACGTATGTGCTGCGGCACCAGGCGACTGTGATAACTCGGTGGGCGGTGCCCAGCCTCCTACTTCATACTTGTATACTAAAAATTATGGAATACTTAAAGAAAAGGAAAAATACATACACAAACGACACAGAAACAGATCGACAGTAGAAACATTTACCGAAAACGATCGACTGTATTATATGTTGGAGCTTGCATTGAGAAGACTTAGCGCTAGGTCCTTAAACTTGTCTGAATCGCTGTATAAAAGTGTAACACTTGGTGCGAGAAAGAAAATCGAATGATTTTTAAGTAAGTTCGCCTTTAAATGAAACAAGAAAAGTTCGATTGACATTGATTTAGAAGATTGAAATTGCAATGACATGGATTTACCATAATTATAAAGAGAGACGATGCATATACTGTAATAGTTTAATAATATTTGAGAATGAGCATAAGGATAACTGAGAGTGAAGCATATGAACATTTTCGTCCTTTCAGGTGCGCGAGAACGGACCTCCGAATAAATCTCTAGCGGTTGCGCATTAATGATTGAGGTGCAAGCTCTAAGATATTTAAGAAGATAGGAATGGACCGAACAGTGACGATAAGAATTTTCGTAGAAGATTAGGTTTAACGTGTTTTCTTAACTGCCTCAGTTCGTTATACCATTTACTCATCTTCCATACACATTTATAATTAATGTACTAAAGAATGATGTTTTTTACGCGTTATATTTCACGTTTTCCATATTACATAGTTGATTTAGTAGACATATGATAATATTTCATTATCTCTGCTATGCATCTATTGTATTCAAAAGAACAGCAATTTATGCAGGGTTAAAAATATTCTTTTTCTATTGTTGAACTGTAATTGCGGCGCAATCATAATAGCGTAAGTGTTTCACGTTCCTTATTTTGAGTCTGTAAAACGATTAGCACAAGTCTTAAGGTCTTCTTATTCTTACTATTTCTGTTCAACTACTAAACTGTTTATCTACTTTCTTTTCTATATCGTATCGTTAAATGTTGTTGTTCGATTAATGTGAGCGAATTATAAAGACGTTTATAATAAGATTTTCAATATTTCAGTTCGTCCGTTTTACAAACTATTTATGGAATTCCGAAAAAAAATTGTTCTATATTTTCTCATAAGTATTTAAATATTCATTAGTAAAGTATGTTTGTATAATAACACGAAAGAAACGCAGATACGTGCATACGCTGTAACACGTAACGTGAAGGACTTCCGAAGGTCCATTCCTAACTTAATTAAAATTTTAAATCGTAAATTAAACGTATTGCATACTTACATACGTACTAAAAAAAAAACGCATAAGTAAACGACTCGAATACTCCTTTCTCGTGTACATCAAGGTCCTGTTAAATAAGTTGTTTATTGATAATAAACGCCATCACGCTTGCATTACTTGTCTCCCTGACTTTTATCGTAATCCTAAGCACTGATATTAAAGTGATCTGTTTCCTAAAGAATATCATTAGGCAGGCACACAAGATAACTAGTTAAGAGGAATGACTGATAAAATAAATTTTTTACTGTTAGGGCTTGACTAAACTTCAAACATTCAGATTTACGATACAAAATATTTTATTCTTGACAAACTCATGTAACATCATACGTTTAACAAGACATCAGTCAATTATATGCGCACTTAAAACCTATGAAATCGTAAGCAATCATATAGTAATTGGTGTAAAAAGATTTTAGATCGTAGTGAAGAAAAAGATTTAATGAATGATGCTCTCCTCTTCTAACGTATTTTACATTATTACTTAAGTATTTTTTAATCGCAATTAACTATCTATATTGGTTGTCGTGAGCAACGATCACATCAGACGTATTAATTATCCTGCGTATCAGTTAATCGTGTTTTCAACACGAACATAACTAGAATAAATAAAAAAATAGAACAGCTAGAATTAGCTATTACATGTCGGTACTAAATATTTGACAGTTCACTGAAACATGAATAAAATGCACGTACGACATTTGTATAATTACAAATCTTCACTGAGAGATGAACATTGAATTAAATACTACGTCGACAGTACTATTTCGATTACTAGATGTAATACATATTATCTAATTACGCTTATAAATATAATACGTACTTACAGAAACAACGTAATTAAATGAAGAATTCAATTAAATTTTTAGTACCAGCGTAACCCGATGTTCTTATCTCGTGATACAGACGTAATACCATTCAAATAAGTATCAAGTTTTCATGGAATTCAAAAAATTCCCATATGTTCGGTCGAATACACATAATGCACATCTATAAAACAATGTGCATACTCGACACACGTAGTTATCGATAATATCAAAGGAGGGGGAGAGAAGTTAAGCGAACGCACGAGTCGTCGTTTGTACTTCATTATACTAACAACAAGTGCACAAATGTTTAAACAGTCATCATGACATAAGCGACAACCTTTTAAATGGGACGTCTGTGGATCGAAATACATGTATTTGAAATATTATAGTGATATAAAAATTGTCCGAGGGCGTACCACACATAAATTCAAAGGCTAGTTACTGGAACATCCTCATCTTCTGGATGATTGCTCAGCTTGGTCATTGATATGTGGTCCGCGGCGTATTCCTAGCAATCTGTTCCCCTCCTAGAATACAATCATCATTAAATGCTTAAAAGAAATGCGATTAAACGCAGATTTATGAATCCTTCAGGCATATTGAATTACCTCGTATTAAATAGTATTTCGGCTCGGGAATTGATAAACCACACGAGAATGAAAGATATACCAGTTATCGAACTTCCTAAGATTATAGTAAATTGTTCTGTGGTCGCTGCAGGTTTCAGGAACATTCTTACGCCTAATGTCTCCCATACGGACTCTGTCCACGTTGAGTACTTACCCGATTTCATGTTATAGCCTGTTCAAATGATTTGTAAAAATAATGTCAATTCTTTGAAGCATTTAGCATTTTTAACAAGTCAACATACCATCGATGCTAAATGCTGGGCTCATGGCTAAACTATAGTTAACGGTGGAGTTTATGCAGATGCCTGGTGGATTGTTACCAGCCATCCAAATGAAGTGTTTCTTGTAACAAGTCGTTTCATTCATGTTCTCAATTTCCTGCTTGGTTAAAAATGCAAGAAGCTGACTGGTTAACGTAGTGGCAAGATTCGATACACGGTGCACGCCAACGTACAGCGGTAAAACTTGATTTGCTATCTTGGCGTGCGGGGCCGAAGCAGCTTGGAACAATTTACATCTAGCGCTTTTCAAGTAACACGTCAACATTTCCGTAATGAGATCTTCGACAGATTGAAGGGATTCGTTCACGGGAGGTGGAGGAAAGCCGGTCACTTCTTCGTAAAGAATTTCAGTGACGTTAATCGCTATCCTTGCCAATGCTGCTGAAAGTCCTTGCGTGTCATTGCTAAAAAAAAAATAAAAATAACGTGTGCAACAAAAATTACATGAAACAGAAACGGACGAAGATCGAATATGTACCTATTAAAATCGAGGCTTTCCGCGTCATCTAATATCCCATTGTAATATTTATTCTTAAATTGTTTACCATGACTGCTTATTACAACTGCGGTTAAGTTTGGCTTTTCTTCTAAGAAACTTTGTATAGACGTAGGCGGCACACTGTCTTTTAGAACATGTGCGTCTAACGCTTTCTCAATTTTCATTATAACTTCATTGTTTTCTCCGTTGTTAGAATGAAGATACAATTCTCCCTTGTTCAGCTGACCAAATTCGATCACACTCTTAATGTCATCAAAGTTTAAATTTACACCACCTAACGAATTGAAGTTACCTTCTTTCATGTCATAAATTAATCTACTAGATCCTATATAATCAAACGCTTCGCCGTTTAATATCGAGAAGACAACGTTTGTCGCTGGAAGATATGAAACCTGCTATTAAAGAATATCCACATATATTATTTTTAAATAAAATTGTTATATTTACCGTTTATGACGGTATCCTTCGCCAGAGCATTCAGGTAATAGGCAGAAGCAAGTAGAGTTACTAATCCTGTGACAACGTTACCCGCCCCAGGTGATATTCCATCGAACAAAGAGGAGGCATCTAATCTAGCTATTACCAATATTACAGAATTTTTGTCTTTATTTATGGGAGCCAAAGGCCAATGGATGTTTCTGTCTCCTAATGGATCGCAAAACTGTGTTGGGTGAAAGTTCAAATTAAAATCGCTACGTTTGATGCAAGAGTTGGAATTGATCGCAGCGAACATGAACGACTTCATTTCCAGTGCGCATAGAGATCTGTACTGTTGATTCTTTAAGTCGTGCGCATTATGTTTCCAATAACACCATTTCACAGCTTCTATTAGTGTTTGATTCTGAAAAATGAAAACTATCGAGTCAGGAACATACTCGAAATATATTACAGAATATGCAAATTTAATATGAACCTCTGTGAAAAACATTGGGAAGGGCCAATCTTCCATAAGTAATGAAGATCCATAAGGATTCCAAGGTGCATCACACTTCTTGTACCCTGAATACCTATTAGGGCAGGAGTCTTCAGGAGAATAAGAACCAGGACGTGGATGACTGGAATTCTTAGCAAGCAGAACTCCATTTACATTGTACGTATGCCATAATCTGTGCAATACATCTTTTCTGAACATAGAAAATGGCAAGACTATTGTATAAGGCCCAGCAGTGGCGTTATGTTCAAGCCATCTGATGTCACTTTCATTCTCAATTACATGAATGACACCGACACTTCCTGATCTAATTGCTGTAATTGAAGCAAGTGTTTTATAGAATTTTGCCTGTGTGTAACATAAGAAAACAGGAATATCAGAAGCTTACATGAACATCCAAATTGATGTGTTCCATTGTGTTTACGAAAACATGCAGCAACTCCATCAAAATTCATGTAAATCATGTCCTTTATCCTTTCTGCTGCCGCTACAAAGACAAATTTAGAATGTTAAACTTTTACCGAATTCTTTTTCAATTAGATCACATTAGAAAATAAAAATTAGGCATTGTTATGTTAAATTCTATTGAATCATTGACTGATGGAAAAGAAACAGATGATCATTATCCAGTATATTATCATAAAAAAAACTTTGTTCGTATTATTTTAGATATTTTCTTACCTAAATTTACAATAAGAAATAATAGAATTCCAAAGACTAAACATTTTGCCATTTTTCCGTTCGCGATCTTAACACGTAAATTTAATTTTTCAGTCTATCACCCGCAGATTTCTTTCGCGTAAGGTTAAAGACGATGACACTATTGCATCGCGTGAATCACAGAAATATCTAATTGAACATTTTGTTTCGCTTGTCTGTTAGCTACTACTGGCTACTACTGCTACCGCCATCACATTGGATTGGAACTATCAAGAGTATCAAGTCGCAGTATTTGCATTCTTTTTTTTTAATTTCCAGTTTCACTGCAAAGATTTTGATGTCCCAGAAGTATGGATAAACCCTTCAGAAAATGATAAAATAGTAATTCTTTAAAATATTTTCTGACACTCTCAGTTTCTCTCTGGTGTCATCATTGAACATGCTTGAACATTGTATAATTCATTCCGCTGACTCGGCTATAGTCATTGTTATTAAAGATGGCGGCAACCGTGGCATCGAGGGATGTTAATACGTATTTAAGTCAAAATCAGAATGTTGCGGATAAAGAACTGGCTACAGAATGGGCGCAACTTGAAGAGTTATACAATAAGAGGTATTAACTAAAAAAATATTTTCGATCAACTGGCTATTTTAATAGAAAAATCACATCCCAGTTTCTCTGCTTGGTGACTTGCAGGCTTTGGCATCAGTTGACACTTAAATTAGAGACGTTTGTGAAACATCCTTCTCTTCAGAAAGGAGATAAATTGGTTCAGTTGTACATGAACTTTTTATCTACCTTTGAAAACAAGTAAGCATACTATATGTTTTTCTAAAATATAAATTCATAACCTGTGCACTTTCACTAGCATGCATGTGATTAGTGAAGTCTTTGTCCTACTATATTTTTATCTGGTTTTTATTTAGGATAAATCCTTTATCTCTGGTAGAAATACTAGCATTTGTAATTCAGCAATTTCAAGATAAACAGGAGGCGATTAAGTTCTTAGAGAAAACAGAGGCTAAAGTTAAAACCAACAATGAAGCTACTTCTCTGTGTAAAGTCCTCATAGGACAGATATTGCTTGAAAAATTAAATGATCAGGAAAGAACAAAGAAGATTATAGAGGATGTAGAAACTATGTTAGATAATGCCGATGGCATTACTACAGTTCATGGTAGATTTTATTTATTAGCCAGTCGGCTTTATCGTCTTCAAGGAAAGCATGCGGAGTATTACCGCACTGCTTTAAGGTATTTCACGATTAAAAGCTTCGATCGCAATTGATCAAGAACTGTTGGAAGCTTATAGACAACTTTATATTTCAGATATTTGGGCTGCATTGACTTAAATACTTTAAGTAAACAAGAACAAGAGCAACATGCGTTTTTCCTTGGATTAGCTGCACTTTTAGGTGAAGGAGTTTATAATCTTGGAGAATTGTTAGCTCATCCAGTGTTACAGTCCTTAAAAGGCACATCGAACTCTTGGTTGATCGATTTACTGCAGGCTTTCAATGCTGGTGACATTCCTGCACTCGAGAAATTGAAACCACAATGGAGCAAAGTCGCGGATTTAGCCGCGCAAGAATTGAAGTTAAGACAAAAAATCTCTCTTCTCTGTCTCATGGAAATGACTTTTAAACGACAGGCTAATAACAGGTTCGTATATCTTTTATCAGTGAAAATATTATTTAATCAAGTATTCCAATAAATTCTTAATTTGTTGTTACAGGCAATTAACATTTGCGGAAATTTCTCAAGAAACTCGTTTACCCCTGGGTGAAGTCGAACTGCTAGTAATGAAAGCTCTGGCTCAAGGTTTAGTTCGCGGTGCTATCGATCAAGTAGCAGGAACAGTGAACATGACGTGGGTACAACCCCGTGTATTAGATCGTTCACAAATAGCTGGGATGGTACAGCGACTCGATGGATGGTGTAAAGACGTTAGTTCGATGGAACACTTATTAGAAACTCGATCGTCCGAGATTCTCACACTTTAATATTAGGTCTGATCATTTTTCATCGATTCGTTTGTAACTTCTATTTTCCTGTATGTTCATTAACTCAATGGCTTACCACTATGTCGAACATGAAAGAAAATACACTCCACCCAATATAAATACCATAATTTTATTTAAAATGAAAAATAACATTTCTCATCCTGATAAGTCAGTGAGTTAATACCGAGAGAAGAGTAAGAAAAACATTTTCTTAAACAGAAATTTATGTCTGTACAAACGAATTAAAGGGAGTATAAATTTATCTGAAATTTAATGTTCTACAGAAATGAGCGTTTGACAATTTTTATCGTTTACGTGAAGGAAATTGTTTGATTCTTTTGAGCTCTGAAACTTTGTACTATGATCGAAATATTAATAATAACAGTGTATATTACAACATTAATGTTTTTCATGATTCATTCGAAATATCTATGATATTTCCTACGAAATCAATTGAGGTGAGTGCATCGTAAATATATATGTATAAATACATTTGACGATATTTTCCCCCGTAGATGGCACTTCATGTGCCATTATGTGCACGGAGGGTGTTATCTTTTTTGAATTCGACTAATCAAAGTAATTTATGCTATACTTGACATTTGCTGCGAATGTATTATCACGTTTGCCAATGCCGCAGCCCGGGTTTACGTTTTTATTTGATAAACGTAAACGAAAGATGAATTAGTATTTTGAAACTTGATTGACAGAAATATTTAATTTCGCTTATAGCAATAATAACGGAAATTGTTTTTGACGCGTATCATGCCTATCGTCCGATTAAGTTATTTTTAATTTACTACTTGAATATATCAAAATTTTAAAATTCATTTTATTATCTGCTTGTTAATTATCTGTGTTTTGTTTTTCATTGATTAGTAATTATCGATGTTCGACATTTTTAAATACTTTTTGGAGAATTCGTATACTTTGGTTTCTTTTACACACAAATTTTATTGTTGTAAAGTTCGGCAGTAACTGCGTGTGAAATGTTTGTTCATAAATATTCTTTGCACGTTTACGATTGTTGAAACGCGTGTTATTCGGACAGTCGAGGAAAGGTTTGACACGGAAAGATATTATTTATCATGTAAATTGTACCAAGTAGACCAAAGAGATATCGTGGTTGCGATATTTTCGAATGCTGCAAGCAGTAAACGACGTTCCTTAATAAATGCCTGGAGTTTGTCCGCGTTGTAATCGCGAGGTCTACTTCGCAGAGGAAAAACTAGCACTCGGGAAAGTCTGGCATACGTTCTGTTTCTCTTGTCGTTAGTACAGCAAAATCCGACCGATCGATCTATTAGAATAAATCGAATTCCCTCTTGTAATGTTTTCATTCATTATTCGACCGAAAGCTGCCTAAATCAGTGTTTAAATGGTTCATAGGTAACTGTCGAAAGTTGCTCAATAGTTGTAACGTGGTGACGCACCTCGGTGAATTGTATTGCAAGAATTGTTACGTTCGCCTGTCTTTATCGTCTACGAATCATGAAATCAAACCAGTACCACACTCGCCTGGAACCTTAGCAGTTTCAGCCGAGGAGCCGCTAAATTGCTACTGTTGCGAAGCGGAGATCGGTAACGCGTCGCTAAAGGGTCAGCGTTACGAGGCCGCCCGGAAGTGTAGACTTCGCGGCGGAGGTAGCGAAGCCGAGGAGACGAACGTGTGCCTCGACGAGAAGGAAAAGCATTTTTTAGAAAACGAGTGCGCTAATTTAGGTATTGTCAATTCGATGACAACAATTTGTGATCCCCCACCCAGTCCTACCGCAGTGACTACGTGGTACAATCGGCAACATTCTAAGTTCCGCAGGTTCCAATTCACCCTTGTTTCATATATTTATCTTTTGTTGTGAACTATATTATTACTGATTGAATCTGAAAGTTGGCTGGGACCTCGCACCGAGAACGTATCTGTTAATAACGCTCTTATTAAAATAGTACGTTGTCTCTGGAGTCGCAGAAGGACAACACGGTCGCGAAAGATTGTCGATTCGAAGCGCAGAAACAAGAGATCGATCAGTCTGAGCCAAAGGCTTCGTTTAGTAATAATGAAGTCAACATTACAGAGGCTCAGTTAAGGTACATACGATTTCTTCAATCCCCTGTATTCCTATTCTATTACAGATATTTCTAAACTATTTCTGAGGAAATGTTTAGCCGTAGGCACAAAAGTAATTGGATTTATTAAGCTTGTGTTTACGTTTTTCATTGGGAACAGTGTCTATCGGTAAGATATCGATAGTTTCTGACCCTCCGCTCGATATTTTTTTCAATTTTTCTCGTTGAACAACGAAACCATAATCACTACGTTTCATATCTTTCCTTTAAAAATTCAATTAGAACAGCAGTCAAAGTAAAGCTTTCTAAGCGTAGACATTTCCAGCACAGACAGAACTCAAGTACCGTCTATCACCTGGAATAATAAACTTAACGAATACGACCCAGTATACGAGTTTAGTCTCAATATTCCGTCAAGACGAAAATTTGCGTATCCGCCGGTACCACCGCCTCGCAATCCGCTGCCATTCCGACGACGAGTCTCGTTCCACGACGTCGTTTTCGGGGACACGCGCGGGAACGATCAGAATCGTCGGCCCTGTTACGATAACGATTGTAGAAACGAGTACAATGATTCCTACGACATTTGGCAAGCGGACGATCCGGTTGGTAAAAACGACGGCGGATACGAAAATGTTAATGTAAATTATACCGAAGATAGTGGCAGAATGCATTTTGAAAAAAGCGCGTCGGACTACGGCGAGGAAGACACGTTAAGCAAATGCAATGACATCGAGAAGCATCGCGGACAAGACAATCGCATCGAGGGTAACTCAGAGACGCGCGCGTACAGGATAATGAACGAGAAAGACGATGCGTCGTCGAAGGAAGACGCGTACGGTCATCAAAGCGGGCCGAATTCATCGAACGAGCTCGACGAGAATGAACGGATGCGGGGCGGATGCGGTGGATCGTGCGGACGCCCTAGATTTCCTTGCGGGACGGTCAGAGTGATCGAAGCTTGCCAATGTAAAAGTATGAAGAACGTCGGAATCCTTTATCACTTCGTTTCATATAAAATAATTAAATTAATTTTTAAATAATAAATACAACTAAGTTGATCTTAACAATAAAATGATCCTCAGTGGAGGAAATAGAATTTATTTGTCGAGAATCGGAGCTGATACTGATTGTGACTTCAATGTTACAGGAGATCCTTGCGGGGATCCGTGTCGTGCGGTCACGGCGTCCTGCTCGACTTGCTCATCGCCTTGCATCGATAGGCGCGGTTGCTGTCCACCGGCGAACGAACGACCGATTTGTAAGAAACCTATCATTAGATGTCGTCAACCGTGCATCGAGCCTCAAGGCTGCGGCGGAGGTGGATGTTGCGGGGGCGGGTGTCGCGGTGGTTGCGGAAAACCTGGACAGACGTGCCTACCGAGGCCTTGCACGGTGCCACCTTGCCGGCCGTGTTCACCCTGTTCACCTTGTTCTCCGCCTCGATCCTGTTCTCCGCAAATAATTTGTTGCTGCAGCAGAAAGTGCAGCAATTGCTGTGGAAGTAGCAGTGGTTGTGGAAGTAGCAGCGGCAGCGCGTGCTGTTGCCAGTAAGTTTCATTTCTTTTGAAACTCGCATTATTAATTAACGATATCTCGTTAAATTACACTTTCTTAAAATGCAAATGCATTTGCACTGACCCAATACGTTTATAAATATCTATCTATCTTCCCATTGCTCTACGTAAAGACGTTCATGTTCTCCGCTTAATTGTCCTCGACGTTAATCGTTTTGTCCAGACCCAAAAGCCCGAGTCGTGGAAGGTCACGAAGATGTTGCAGTATCGAGAGAACGGAGGATTCGGGATGTTGCCGCCCGAGGACTGCTTGCGAATGCTTCGGCGGAGGTCTCGATTGCCAGCGCTGTGGCCGTAAAGTCTATCAAGCCGAGATGCAGGTATACGAGCTCGATCATTCTTATCACGCGGATTAATATAATAGTCTTTTGTTCATTGATATCGAATCATGTGAGCAGTTTTGATTTCCGTTCAAGATCGTATCCGGTATGCCGTTTCACAACACATGCTTCAGCTGTTATTGCTGTAGAAAGCCGTTGGAATCGTTAACGTATCAGGAAAATTGTGGAGAAATTTATTGCAAACGTTAGTTCAATTCAGACTTGTCTTATGCCCAAATTCAATATCTGAACCTTTTTCTTTCTGATAATCACCAGTCAATCCCGCCATTTAGAGTGTTACGTCCGAAACTTCGGTCCACAAGGCTACGGCTACGGTGTAGGGCCAGGTGCGTTACAGACTCCCATGTGAAGACAAACACGGTTAATTAAATTTATCATCGTCGATTTACCAATAGATAATATATATCCAATAATTCACAATGAATATCTATTGTTTATTAAAATATAATTTGTAAAACGATATATTTTATAAACTATATGTTAGTAAACCCATAATGATTTTTACTGGGCTAATGAATCGAGAAATTAATGTGAAGCATATAAATTCAAGCTATAAGAAACGGGGGAGCAGATAACAATGAAATTATTAAACGAATTAGACCTCTTCCGGTATGAAAATAAGGATCGCGAGCAAAGCAAACAACGAATATGTGTGGATTCCGTGTAGTTCTTACAGGAACAATACGAGCATATCCTGGGATTCTCGAATGGATAATACGAGATAAGGAGAATGGTTATTCCTACGTGGAAAATAAAAACACACGAGGAAGGTCGTAGTCGAGAGAGGAAAAGAAAATAAGACGATTCGACGGATGGTTTTATTGGTACCAAATAAAGATAGAGAGAATGGAAAGGAATGGAGTCGGGTTCTGTTTGAACGAGAAAGAGACGGAGGACGGAAGAGAATGGAAAAGAGAAAAAGATGAAGGAAGAAAGAGTGAGTGGTTGGTTTATTGAGTCTCTCCTCTTAGTGGATCGCGGAACGCGGAACGCACGCGGCACTGCCGGCTAGAGGGGCGTTTATATAGCTTTCAAGCGCAGAAGCTTAATCTAATTTCAAATATAAATCTGTTCTCTCTCCATTTCCCTCCCCTCCTTTCTCTTTCCGTCTTCGTTTTCTTCCTTCGACCGACCTCCGATCCATATAACGGCATGCTCGTCGGCTTATATTATCCAGCCCGACTATGAATAATCTCTTTCGCTCTACCTATTAGCGTTACGAGACACGACGATTTATTTAATTCCGCCGAATTATTAGCGTCAAGCGTAAAACACGCTTTGTCTATCGAGCAATGCACACCGACAGAGAAAATGTTTCTCAGAGTTGTTAAAAAATTGTTCGCCTTTGTGAGATCCAAAGTTTTTCCGTATAGTTCGCGAGAGGAGCGCGTACCGTTAAACTAGACGGATCTCATATCGAGGATTTTTCAGGATGTAAAGGAAAACTTGCCTAAGGCCGAAATTGATTTTTTTGTTTTATACACGATGCAGTAATGTGGATGCACCTGCGGTCAGGAAATCGAGAAAATATCTCCTCGGTTCGGCGATCAGGCTCGCTCAGTCTTTTGCGCGCGCCGGTTACTCCGAACGGTATGAAAATCAATTATTTCGTTAATTCGTGCGTTACATTGGCTGTCACGGAACCATCACTGTGAACGACAGCGGCCCAAGGCACTATTTTTCAATTTCCAATGTCGCCCTACCTTTTCCAACGTATTTCCGTCTGATAAGTCTGCTTCCATTCTCGCGGCCTTACCTCTCCGAAGTCTCAACTATTTACATCCACGTAAATAATTCGATACCTACGTGGCAATTAATTAATTACTCGTTTATGCACACATAATGTACGAACAGTGTTGATCCTGTCCATTCGGTAAGATTCTTTAATGTAATGCCACTTAAAAGTTATAAATTGTTCTAATGTAATTAATTGCGATATTAGAAACGAGTGGTTCATAGATTTTACAATTTTATTCGACTCAAAATTATCTGAACGTGTCTAGCAAATTTTGAGAGTAACACAGGGAGAATGAACGTGACAGTCGGAGGTAGCCGCGTGTCCCATGACGCGGATGTCACGTGAAATTCTGGCACGTTAAAATTAATATCTCCCATTTGTCAATGACCGATATACGTTTTCGTTGTACAATGAAAGCCGGCTAAAAAGGGGGAGCGTACACAAATGTGAGACCCCAAAATGTTCCCTAAACATTGTCACAACACGCAGTTAGGTAACCGGGGTAGGTATTCATCGAAGTCGCATTAAAAGAGAAATCGTACTTGTAACATGTTATAAATTGGTTATTCAACGGGCAGTCAGCAGGTAGGAAGCTGTTTTTCGTTCTCTCAAACACCAACAGAATAATAATACATGGATCTCGACAATATTCGATTTCTTTCGAATCGTTCGCTGAAGTATTTTTCGTTATAAAATATTCGAAACGTGGTATGCTTTATTTAAAAAACAGTTTCTATTGTGATATTGAATAAGGCGTTTTGTTGATGCGAAAAATGAATAATGAACGGTAACAATGATTTAATCCCGCGTATCTAATTGGTGGGCATGTGGTCACGACCGTGTAGAATCCCCCGCATGCGTTTCGAATGGATCGCAGTTTATCCAGTATACTGATTTGTAAAGGGTTCGGAACCACTAAGTCCTCTGCAATAATCGCTCATAAATATACCGGACAATCGCATCGTAGAAACATTTGCCTGCTTCGGCAACGAGTATCTGCTTTCACAAGAGACAACAGCTAGAGCAGAGTTCGTCTAATAAAAATAATTGTAAATAATTTGACAACAGAAATAGCAACTCTAATCAGACGTTTCGTTAGATCTCCCAATGAATTAGGTATTCATTTGTATGCATAGTAAATGCCTCGATTTGTATTCATGTCACGATTTCTGCTTACCGGTTTCTTTTTCTCTAATTCTATTTTATCTTAAAATGATAGAAAAATAAGCTTGTGAGTAGAAATTGAGATTGGGATATTTACCTTGTTAGAAGAAGAGTTTCTCACCGACCCCCAGTATTTAAGAATTAATTTCAAGTTGGAGATACGGTAATGAAAATGTTCGATCTATCGCAGATTTATCAGGGGGTTTTGTCGTAGATCGAATGTTAGTCGGCCGCGCGTGTGTACCGTGCACATTTAATTTGCATCGTATAAATCGTGTTTCCGGTCGAGCACGCAACGCAAACACGCGTTACGTTTACACCCTCGGTCGCTCACCGCTCGCCGTACTTTCGATCCACCATTTGGGGATGAACAGAGAGAAAAGCAACACGCCGTGCCGCGCCGCGCCGTAGAGACGCGCGGGCTTTTGCATTCTGCCACGTATTGTAGCCCTGGTAATTTATGATTCGATAAATAAATCAGCCACGTTTTATCCGTTTTCCGTCTCGTGCTTTCCCACACGGCGTCTGCCGCTGTTCCGCGCGCACACTTGCAAGATCATTTCGGGGATCACGCTCTGTTTACCGTTCGCGGACCTCCCCGAGGAAGTCACCCCTTTTATCCCCCGGTTGCCACCTCGAACACTTCAACGATCACGTTGTACCTGCGGAGATTGTGGCTGAGCACTCGCAGAAGTGTTCGCCCATCGTCTATTGCCAGGCTACCCTTCACGTCCCTATCCAGCCTGTGAAATTAATTGATAATACAACAGATTCCAGCATGATTAATTGTGACAATTAATCCTCGTACGATAATAGATATCCAAATTTCTGACCTTCAACTGTTAATAAAATAGTTGCCGAATGTGTAAACGAGCTGCCTTTATGTTTCATGATTGACCATCGTTCATCACGATCATGAATATTCATAACGTTATACATTTGTTTATCGCTCTGTGCGTCAGTGAATCGGGATATATGCAAATGGTAACAAAACACATTCATTTTCGAGTCATCAATGCGAGCTTGAGTGTTATTTGATATACGTATGTAAGAAAGATTCTATGTATGTTTTTCTGAAAATTTAGAAAAACTCTTCAAGTAAAAGTTGTAGATACTGCTGTTATCTACAAAAAAGGTCGTATATAATTTTTTCTATCTCGAACTTCAGGAGTAATCGACTAATTATTTCGTCCATTTATTTTTTAATGAGTGGACTTGGAAAGAAATCGTATAGGATCTGACAACTACAGCTGCATGTGTCTTCTGTCAACTTGTAGGTGGCTATTTCAGTCGAGAATATCGCTTATGATTTTAATTCTATGTGAGGCTGAAAACGTTGTTAATATGCCAGACGTAATTAATTGATCAGCTGTAACAATGGGCGTACCTATCCTTGCACTGACAGGTAATTGTGGCGAAGAAACGATCAAAGGTGTAGCGAGTTACTCGCGCATGAAATCTTAGTTCACGGAGGATACGGTCGAAGGCTAATTTCCAAAGGCGCTTCTCTGAATTATGACCTCGTAATTAGTAATTAAGATATTGTACGAAGTGATTTAACAACGGCTCGAGTAAATTGAATAATTTTCCAATTTTACCCTCCTCTCTTTGACGGGCAACGACCTTTTGTTTCGACCGGAGATCAATTATGTTCACTTTTTATAGATACGACCCTCGACTGTTAATAGAAATTTCTGATAGGTCTCATACGGTCAGGTCCGATTTTGATACCTGCGTTATACTTTGATCGATTTCTCATGAAGGAGAAGTAAATAGAAGAGTGGAACGTCGTCCAAAATTTACGAGCGGCCCCGATGCGTTATGACTCCCTGCGCGGAATCAGACCGATTTCTCCTGGCGTTTTTATTATTTTCTGATAGCATGTTTACGAGGAAGGATGAATGGAAGCGTACTTTATGGGATGTGACAAGTATGGGTTTTAGATTAGGTATAGGTGACGCTTTTGGAAAATATGTACGTTACTGTTTATGGGACCAGAAATCATTCGTACGCATTTAACTGCCATTTTGTGGCGATCAATCGATTTTCCCTGAATCGCTTGAAAACACTCAAGTCTTCATAAACCATCGTTCTCGTATTCTAAAGTCACGAACTAAGGATAACTCAATCTACGTACTTTTTGTTTTATTTATTTACTGAATTCAGTTTTCACAATACTTTATATAATTACAAAAAAGTATTGAATATTTCGCGACGATGGATGTAATGGAAAGAATGATCTTATTTAAGTGAATCGACAATTTTGTAATATTCGTTACTGAATGAAAAAGTGGAATACAGGATGTACATTACGTACGAGTCGGGAGACAAAATACGGCTAGAAGTTATATTAGCTGATCGGTTTTCGAAAAACGGGGAACAACTCGCAACCAGTAGCTCATACATTACAGCGGTCCTCGAAAAAAAGAAAGAGGGAGAGGGCGAGGGAGAGAGA